AGAATAGAGGAGAGCAGGATGAGAGATACCATAATAGATGGAGTCACTATAGCTTTGAGGAGAGAGGTGACACTAGTGAGATCTCCAGAGATCTACCAGGATAACACCAACTGGCAAACTAAGCAATAGTGGAGAGACTACATTAATAGCCCCTCCCTGATGATAAGGTTGATGACTATCTTATATTCCATCTTAGAACCTCTATCCAGTGACTGATGGAAGCAGAGGAAGACACCCACAGCTGAACACTCAACTGGACTCCTGGAACCCAGTGACAGAGATGGAGGAGTGATGAGCAAGGCAGTCAAGACCGTGCTGGTGAAATACTTAAAGACAGCTGGCTGGATAAGGGGGAGCCCTTGAACCCCAGACTGATCGCTGAGAGCCCAGAGGGGACTGATCTAGACTCCATGAATCTAGTGTCCTTGAGGAGGCCTCAGAAATCTCTGGGGCCTTGGGTAGTAGATCAGTGTTCACCATGGAGTACAAATGAACTTTGGGAGCCCATTTCACATGAAGGGATGCTCTCTCAGCCTGGACACATGGGAAAGGGCCTAGGTCCTGCCCTGGATGAAATGACAGACTCTGGAGATCCCCCCAAGGAGGGCCTTACCCTCCCTAGAGAATGATGTGGGGATTGGGCTGGGACTGGGTGGGGGGTGGAGGGACAAGGGAGGAAGGGTGGGAGACGGAGCTGGGATTGACATTTGAAGTATGCATGCTTGTAATTTAAATTAAATAAAAAAGATTTAAAAAAGAGCTAGCCAGAAACAAGCCTAAGCTAGGCTGAACACTCATAAAAATAAAACAAACAAACAAACAAATAAATAAGTAAGTAAATAAATGAATAAATGGAGTGGTGACCTCAGGGCAAGATCCCACTCAGTGAAATTTCCAACTTGTGAAAAGGAATTAAAGAAAAGGTTAAAGCCAGGTGTGGTAGTGTATGCCTCTAATCCCAGCAGAGCCTGGTAGGTCTCTGAGTTTGAGGCCAGCCTGGTCTTCAGAGCAAGCTCCAGAAAAACCGAGTGTAGGCAGTGAAGGAATCCATCAAAAACAGAAAACTAGTGAAGATGTAATTGAAAGACCTCTGGTCTACAGAGAAAGTTCCAGAATGCCAAGCTTAGGCAGTGAAGGAAACCATGGCAGACAGAAAGCTGGTGAAGGTGTAATTGAACAATGGGTGCGGGTGCATTTTCCAGCTCCAGTCAGCAGCAGAACTTGGTAGCTTTGACCTTATGGTTCTGGCTTTATAGTCAAGGAGCAACTAAAGAAAGCAGCTGAGGCCGGGCATGTGTCAGGGTTATCCCTGTATGGAGGCCTAGAGAGGCCAGTGTGTGAAACTGTGAAGTTGAAGCCTGGATTGCCTTGGAGACAAAAAAATTTGGAGATGCCAGAGTCATGACACACCTGCAGAGAAGAGGAGACCGTTAAAAGGGAGGGAACCCAGCCCAAGAGAAAGAAGTGTGTTAGAGCCAACAAAGCTGAAAGAAGCTGGAGATCTGGAGTGCTTTGACATCAAACATAGAGATGCAGAGTGTGGAGTTTGTCCAGATGGTTTTCAGTGTTGATTTGGTCTAGTATTTCCTCACTGTGCTTCCTGCATACGTTTTGGAATGGCAATGTATTTTCTGTGCCAGTATATGTTGGAAGTATGTGATATGCTTTTTAATTTTTATTTTAGAGGGAATTACAGTTAAGAGGTTGCATGAATCGCAGAAGGGACCTTGAACTTTAGACTTTTAATTAAGTTTGAGACTGTTGTAGACTCTAGGGCTTTTGAAGTTGAACTGATGCATGTCTGCATTATGATATGGTTATAAGCCTTTGGGGGCCAGGGGGTGGAATGTGGTGGTTTGAAAGAAAATATCCCCCTCAGAGAGTGATACTGCTATATGTGGCTTTGTTGGAGTATGTGTGGTCTTGCTGGAGGAAGTGTGTCACTGTGGGGAGGACTTTGAGTTCTCCTATGCTCAAGCTATGCCCAGGGCACAGTTCACTTCCTGTTTCCTGCAGATCAAGATGTAGAACTCTCAGCTCCTCCAGCACCATGTCCACCCCATGCCACTATGTCCTGACATGATGACAATGGACTGAACCTCTGAAACTGTAAGGCAGCCCCAGTTAAATGTTTTCCTTCGTAAGAGTTGCTGTGGTCATGGTGTCTCTTCACAGCAATAGACATCCTAAAACACCATTGATAAAGCTAATGCTGGGTGAGTTCTGACTGTTTTGAGTTGTTTACTTCAATGTTAAGCAAAGTCTGTCAGTCTTCTTTTTATATTATATGTAGGTAACAGTAATGGTTCCTTTGTGAGGATTTAGCAGTATTCAGCTCCACTTTTGTATTTACTAAGGATAATGTTAGTGCTGGGTGTGGTGGCAATAGGAGGGGAAGTTTAGGACAGTCAGTGCTGCGTCTTGAGGTCTGCTTTAAAATGGTTAAGTCCCTTCTCATCCAGATTCTTTTTCCAGATCACCTCCATAGCTTTATGTTTGTGTACGTGCATGCACAGGCCGGATGACAGCCTTGGATGGGTGTCATTTCTCAGGTGCCTGGCCTGGAAGTGCCAGTGAGTCCCAGGAGTCCATCTCTGCTTTCCTAGCACTGCGACTATAAGCACGCAAAACCATATTGGGCTGTAAAAAAGAAGTGAGCTCTAGGGACTGCACTTGGGTCCTCATGCTTGCAAGACAAGCATTTTACAGTGATCTCTCCATCCCATGTCTTTAAAAAGACTTAGTGTATGGGCGTTTTGCCTGCAGGGTTGTATATGTTACAATGCTAGGATAGAGCCCAGACTCAGACAGTGGTATTCAAGTTTCTCTATTTGTTTCTGTAGAAAGGCATTTGAGAGCAGAAAGTGTCCAATTGTGGTCAAATTTGATGAACTATTATGCAAAAACCTAAGGGCAAAGGGAGCATTTTAACGTTTGGCAGTATTAGATACACCCATGAAGGGCTGTCCATTAGAAGCATAGGGGAGGTGCCTACTTTTAGAAGAGCCATTATATTCATGGTGCCAGGTAGTCTCACCTCATTTCAACTCTATTTTTTCCATTTCAGCATTTTTCTATTTTAAATCAAGCTTCCTAAATTCCTTATGAATTTAAAAAGGTGTGCTAGCATAATTTTGGCAGATACATTGTGTACTCACATCATCATAATCAAGAGTAGTTCCATTGCCTTCTCCAAATCCCTCAAACCTCTTTGTCAACAACTCCTACTTTCTAGTCAACAAATGCTTTTTTTGTTTGTTTTTTGAGACAGGGTTTCTCTGTATTGTTTTGGAGGATGTCTTGGAACTTGCTCTGTAGACCAGACTGGCCTCGAACTCAGAGATCTGCCTGCCTCTGCCTCCCGATTGCTGGGATTAAAGGCGTGTGCCACCAATGCCTAGCTTTCTATGGTTTTTGTCTTTTCAACAATGTCATATATATGGGCTTATACTTACATATATTTTTGGTCTTATGTCTTTCAATGAGAATGGTACCTATTTATTTTGTGTAATTGTTTCTAAGTAGATTCCACTTAGCACATGTACCAACATGTTTATATATTTATTAACTACAGGGTACTTAGAGTGTCTAATTTTAAGTTGTTATATTATGTCTTGTTTTAATATATGTATATCTACTTGGGTTGATATCTAGTGGGCTTTCTGGGTCATAATGTAAGTGTATTGTTAATTTTATAAGTAAATGAACTCTTAAGTCATTTCTCCAATTGTTTGTTCAATTCTGCATTTCTACTAATAAGTGTTTTGGTTTCTGTCCATTAATGGTATTTAGACTAAAATAACCAAGCAGATTTTTTTTGGTTTTACGACACAGGGTTTCTCTGTATTGTTTTGGAGGCTATCAGTCCAGCCTGGCCTCGAACTCACAGAGATCCACCTGCCTCTGCCTCCCGAGTGCTGGGATTAAAGGCGTGCGCCACCACCACCCGGCAACCAAGCAGATTTCATTGAGGGTCATGCTATATGTGAATTTATGCATATATGTGCTCAAACACATGTAGAGTCCACAGATCTGCTTCTGGCATCTTCCTAGATTGGTTAGGTAGGCTGGTCAATGAGCCCTAGGGATCTGACTGTCTCTGAGATGCCAGCCCTGGGGTCCCAGAAGCACATCACCAATAGAGCTGTCCTTTATCTAGTGCTAAATAGCTTTTTACAGGGGTGCTCATGTTTGCATGGCAAGCAGATATTAAATGAGCCATCTCTTCAACCCCTCATTATGACTTTGAATTCCATTTTCCTAATCACCACATGGTTAGCATTTTTGTGCTGTATAAGGAACATGCAAAAGAAATTAAGTCATATGGACCAGTCAAATATTAGTATGTGGAAAAGGTTAGCTGAGAATTACAGCTAAATTCAAAATATTTATTTCAAGACAGGGTTTCTTGTGTTGCCCTGGTTGTCCTGGAACTGTCTCTGTAGACCAGGCTGACCTCAAATTCAGAGATCTGCCTGCCTCTGCCTCCCCAGTATTGGTATTAAAGGTGTGCGCCACCACTACATGGCTCAAATGTTTATTTTCTGGAAATTCACATAATGTGAAAGCACATAATTTTTGATGAAGAAATCAAACCATGCATTCTGGGAAGTTTTTATGTTCACAGAAGAGGGTGAGCAGTGAGTTGGAGCAACTGCTACAACCCTTGCGTGCTGTTCTGACACTGGATCTCAGCTGAGCCTGGAGCAGCTTAGTGGGGGCTTTATCGCCAGTGTTTCTTGCTTAAATCATGTGGCTGCACAGCTAACAATTCTGATGTATAAGAAACACACGGAGGGGTCTAAGGTTTTGTTTTTCCATTGCAGCAACAGAGAAATTATTTTTACTGCAAGATTGTTCTATGTTGAATCCTAATATGATCACTATGTGCCTGTAGCTGACGACTACTGTGAAATTGAAGAAAAGACAGGAGCCCCTTTATAGCCAACCTTATGGTTGGCCAAGGGTAGAGAGAATAAGAACGCAAGTCACGCTTCAAATGTCATTTTACAGGATAGGAGCCCTTGTTATAGCTTTTTGGCACACTCAGGACAATACACCTGCTCTTCATGAAACACAAAACGCTTGTTGGCCAGATTCGCAGAACAATTTTTGCAGTTGAAGCAATAGTCATGCCAGGAATTTTCCTCATGGGTCACCACATTGGCGCCTTTACCAAACCCAGTGATGGCATCTTTGCACCCAGCACACTTCTTGGCCACAAAGTTCTTGTAGCAATCTATGCAGTAATACTTGTCCTCCACAGCAGTGAAACGCTGCCCGCCCAGCTCCTTGGAGCAGTTGACACACACAAAGCACTTGGCATGCCAGGGCTGATCCTGGTAACTGATCCCTCCAGATGTGATGGGCTGGTTGCATTTCACACAATACTTGGCAAACTTGGTCTCATGGCAAGCCACACAGTAGAACTCCTCGTCTTTAGGGAAGAAACTTTGGGTTCCGATGACTTGCTTGCAGTTGCTGCAGACGAAGCAGTTTTTATGCCAGATGGTACCCTTGTACTCCACATTCTGTTCTCCTGCCACAATATCCTGGAGGCATCCTTTGCATTTGGGGGAGGCCTCCTTAGTGGCACACTTGTTGCACAGGATCTTGTTTTCCCAGGACACAAAGGTCTCACTGGCCAAGGGCTGATGGCACTTGCTACAAATGAAGCAGTTGTTGTGCCAGTAACGGTTCTTATAATGCACCTCCTTGGAATCTGCACTTATGGGCTTGTGGCATTCCTCACAGGTATTGGCACAGTGCTTGTCAAAGCATGGTAGGCAGCAGTGGAGGCCATCCTTATGGACATACTTCTTCCCTTGCAAGGAATCCTGGCAGTAGTGGCAATTCAACTTCTCAGACATGGTGCCTTATAGCTGGGGGACCTCACATTGGATGTGCAAAGAACAAGATGTGTTTGGGATAGTCTGGACACAGTTGGTTGCTGCCTAGAGATGCTTGCCTATGCAGCTGTGTAGGCTGTCTGCTGGGTGGTGGATATGAAACGAGGATTTTACAGCAGCTTACCAGGCTGTACAAAAGGAAGAGGGCTTGGGCTGTGTTCTAGGACCAGCCAGCTCCACTACTCATGTCTGCCTTCTACCTCACAGAGTGTCTTCAACTCCATAGAAATAGATGGTGTAAATAACAAAGAAAGAGTTGCCAGTGTACTTTAGCCAAAGATCACCAAGAATTCCTGCAAGCTGGACAGGTGGAGGTTGTCATTCATCAGAGAAATGGAGAACACACATCACAGTCAATCAGGTGGCATCTCAGTAATAGGATGTAAAGCAGGGCTATTCAGATTTGGGGTTGAGTCAGATGTTTTGAAGGAGGGTTTAAGGAAGTAGAACCTTCTTGCCTTACTTTCGTGAGGAAGCAGGGGTGACTGTATGATTCGCTATCTTCATAAATGGTACCTATGAAGAGGAAAGGCTAGAATGAGTAAAACTGTAATCAGTGAAGAAACATCCACTTACTAGTTTGCCATTTTCATTTTGTGTATTATATTTGTGACCCTAACAATATTCATGATTTTGTTCAGGTTGTCGTTTTGTTTTGATGGTTACTGAATGTGAAGTAGCCTTGCCTCATGCTCTTTTGCTTAACTAGAAAATACCAAGGCCTAGTTATATCGGGCCAGCTCCTAGCAACATTACAGCCTCCTTGATAACACTGGGCCATTTGCTAGATTTCAGGGACTGCTTTTCTCTCTTAAAATAGAGGTTAACTTTGAGTGTAGTGGATTATACCTTAAGCCCAACACTTAGAAAGATCAAAAGTTTGAGGCCAGCTTGGCTTATATAGGGAGATCTCATCTCAAACAATATGATGGTTAAGAACTTGGGTCGTGGTCCCAAAATTGGCATGTAGAATCTAATCTTTAACAGTTGTGAAGAGAGAATTAAATTAACATCTACTTCAGTTTTTAAAAATAATTTATTTTATATACAAAGGTGTTTTGCCTGCAAGTATGTCTGTATACAGGAATCAGATCCCCTGGGATAGGAGTTATAGGCAGCGCTGAGCTGCTATGTGGGTGCCGGGAACTGAACCCAGGTCCTCTTGAAGAGCAGTCAGTGCTCTCAACTGCTAAGCCATCTCTCCAGCCCATGCTTCAGTCCTTTTATATGAGTATAGAAATGTTTGCCTCTTTATTGAGAGAACTGCCACAACTTAAGAACTCATGTCAAATCATAAATTGGAAAGTGTAAGGAGTTGTGCCTGGAGGCAGTCTGAATGTGAGAATAGGGCAGAATTGGTATTTACATCGGATGGTAACCTATTCAAAGTTGCTATCACTCAGTGCATTCAAAATACCAAAATAATGCATCACACAGAGAACATAAAAAATGGGTTGCTGCTGGGCTGTGGTGGTACACAGCTTTAATCCCAGGACTCGGGAGACTGACGCAGCCGTATTTTTGAGAGTTTGAGGCCAGCCTGGTCTATGAAGTGAGTTCTAGGACACAAGAACTGTTACACAGAGAAACCCTGTCTCAAAAAACCAAAAAGAAAAAAAAAGTGTTGCCCTCACACGGAGCAATTTGTCATATAAAGTGCAATAGAAACATTGCAACTCGGCAAAGGAAATTCATACACTGAGAGGAAGGCTGGACCACATTTTCAACTTCAGTGCTATCAGCGTGTAAATAACTTCTGTGGTGCTCCTTTCTGGTCTTACTGCTTTGAACTACCTCCTTCTGTTAAGCAATGTCACTTCTAACTTCTTCAGTGTCTGAATATGGTAAGTAACTCTCTGAATGTAACCAATAAGAGTAAAATTCAGTCACTTAAGAAGCTAGAGTTTACTTTTTTTTAGGTGGTAGCAGTGCGGTTTGGGGGAATACTAGGCAATTGCTCTCAATTGAGCCATTAAGATCATATAATTTTTAAAGTATTGAAAGTTTTGCTTTAATTTACCACGTTAAGAATTCATTATTTGAAGACTTTTTTTTTCACAATACTATCTAGAAACAGACATTACAGAATAAGAATCAAGAACTACAATGGTGCTGGGTGTGGTGGTGCACACCTTTAACAGCACTGGGGAGGCATAGGCAGGCAGATCTCCGAGTTCGGGGCCAGCCTGGTCTACAGTGCAAGGTCCAGGACAGCCAGGACTACACAGAGAAACGCTATCTGCAAAGGTCAAGCCAATACAAAACAAACCAAGCACCCAACCCAAGAACAACAACAAAACCAAACAAACAAAAACACCCCTACAATGGGGCCTGGTTTCACTAGTGCTCTTTCTGGTTGCATCCTGGCATCTGAAATCAAGATAGAAACAATCTTATCAAGATATCCATGCCTGCCAGGCGTTGGTGGCACACGCCTTTAATCCCAGCACTTGGGAGGCAGAGGCAGGCGGATCTCTCTGAGTTCGAGGCCAGCCTGGTCTACAGAGTGAGTTCCAGGAGAGCCTCCAAAACATTACAGAGAAACCCTGTCTCGAAAAACAAAACAAACAAACAAACAAACAAAAAGATATCCATGCCTACTCTCATATAGACAGGAGCGAGAACTGAGTGGGGTGCTGTTCATTTTTATAGGTAAGGAGACCAAGGCAGCAAGAAATGACTGAGGAAGTACAGGGCTACCTATATTTGTAGTTTCAGAAGGAGCGAAAAGCTCCCCAGTGTCTTCCTTAGTTCATAAAATAGTGAGCCATTGTTCTGAATTATGGCTTTAATAAGTAGCAAAAGCCTAAGTCAATTTTGGGAAGGAAGTTCTAAAATGAATTTTATGAAGTCACCTATTAAAATCCTCAGATTCTGTGACAGTAATCGATGCTCAGTAAACACCACAGTTCAGACTCTCCTGATTATTCAACTCCTATTAAAGTGATATTCTCTTTAAGTTCTGTGAAATAAAATCATGAGAATTCCAGAGGTGGTCCAAATGGATTTGCTGATGACCACGACTAAGCTGAAGCCATACTCTCTAGTCCATTTTGGGTAAGAACTGGAGCATAGTCAGCTCCCGCTCGGGTTTTTTTTCTTAGCACACTATTTTCTGAGCACTGTCAACACCATCCAGTTACACCACACTATTTTCATTTAAAAATTGAGGTCACCCATCCTAAGTTTCCACTTGCTAATTAGGTTGTGAAAAGACAAATCTTGCATTTTGGGAAGATTTCAGTTTATAAAGCCCCTTTACACCCACCGTTTCCTTATCCTCTCAAAAAGCTTAGAGTGCGTTTATTGCCATCTTTGTCTTAAATGTGTTGAGAGCCAAAGAAAATCAAATAGTATTTATCTAGTCAAGCAGTCTTTGAGCGACTTAATTCCTTTGCTCTCCCACATAGTCTCCCTGTGTCGCGCTTCCCAGCTGAGGCAGGGCTGGACGCGCAGGGCTGTCTGGAGGTCCAGGACCCCACCAGGAACGGGCGCAGAGGGACGGGGACCCGCGCAAGCCCTAGTTAGAAGTGACACGACGACAGTTTTTCTCACTTCAGTTCATTTCTCACATCGAAGAACCAACCTTTTTTTCGTCACCAAAACTCATGCCCCCTGCAAGGTCTTGGCACCTCACGAAGCGCTGTGTGACGAGGGCAAACCTGGTAGATTTTTTTTTTTTTACTCCGGCTGTAGGACGGGCAAGAGTGAAGGAAACCACCAAAACCAAAAGCCCACACAGATATGAAGGCCTCGCTCTCGCTATCCCTGGGTCACACGGGCTCGCAGACTGCCCTGAGGAGAACCGCTGACAGAGGCTCCGCCCGTCCCTCCCTTAGGGCAGCAGCTAAAGATGGATGGAGCCCCTGGGCGAAGGAGGAGAGGGAGACACTGACGAGCATGCCGCACTCCTCAGGGGCGAGGCTCTAAATTCCCACAACCGTTACTCCCGCGCGCCCGCCCGCCCGCCGGCTCGCACGGCCGCCGCAGCCCCGGGAGAGGCCCGCGCGCGCCTCCCCGGGCTGCGCCCCTCGCCCGCTCTGATTGGACGCCAGGGCGGAGGGGGCGGGGAGACCCGGGATGAGGCGCGCGCAGGCGGGCCGGGGGCTGCTGGGAGGGCTGCGCGCGCCGCGCGAGCGGGCGACCGGTGGGCGCGGGAGGGGGCGCGAGCGCGCGTGCGCGTAGGGACCCGCGGCGCGGGAGGAGGCGGGAGCTCGGGAGGCCGCGGAGGGGGCGGGTCGCGTCAGGCGCCACGTCCGCAGCCGGAGGCCGCCGCCGCCTCGGACCGAGGCTTCCGACTCCCGAGCCCGAGGAGGAGGAGGAGGAGAGCGTCTGGGTCGCGCAGCCGCCCCGGGCCGCGCGCGTCACGGCCTCTGCTGCCCCGGCCGCCCCTGCAGCCCTCCGCGCCGCCCTCCGCAGCCCCGGCCGGCCCCGACCCCGCGGTGAGTGAGGAGGCGCCCCGCTGTCGGGCGCGGGCCTGGCCGGCCGCCCCGCCGTCCTTCCCGTTAGCCCCTCCGCGCCCCGGGCCCGGGCTTTGGGGGGCTCGGGGCCTCGGGCGGGGGAGGGGCGGGGCGTCGTCGGGGGCGGGCGAGGCTGCGCGGCCGCTCGCCCCGCCGGGGAGCCGCGCTCCGAACTGGGTCCGGCTGGGTCCGGCCGGCGTCCGGGGGGAGCCGGGCCCCGCGCCCGCTGAGCTTGTGACCTGTTGATGAGCGGCCCGGGTGGGCTCCGGTGCCCGCTGCCCTGCGAGCGCAGCTTCCCGCAGCCCTCCCTACGTCGGCAGCTCCACTCCCACGCCGGCTGTAAGCAGTCCCGCCCGCGGGCGTGGGGGCGCAGGGGGCGCTGGCGGGGTCCCGGACCGAGCCTGCCGCCCCCGTCGGTGCAGACTCCCGGACCGAGCACACGCGGCTCGTAGGCTGGCCGCGGCTTCCACTCGGGACCGCGCTCGATCGCCCCTCGCAGCTCGTGTGACGTTGGGGCTCTGCGGGGGCCAGGGTGTGCTGGGTGGACCGCGGAGGAAGGAGGTGCCCGAGTCAGCTCTAGCCGCTAGGGTCATTTTCTGCCTCTCCTGCCACGTCACTCCCTCTGCTAAAGAAAAAAAGGCTTGTGCCTGAAGGAGCAAGGTGGATCAGTGAGGGGGAGAAAGGGCTTCTGGGAAGAGTTAGAAACACCTAGACTGGGAAACGAAATCTTACTTGAGTGTGTCTTTGGAAACATTGTGGATATTTGTGTCTGCTATTGGTTGGTGTTTAAAACTTCTACTAGTCGTTGCTCTCAAGGGCTATCACGACAACAGGTAAGTGTATCTCCTCCGTTTAATAACGTCTTATAGATCTGCTTTCATTTTTCACTTTTTTTTTTTTTTGCTACACCACTTATACCAGAAACCAAGTTCAGTGAAAACCTCGTTAGAAATAATTCACAAATCAAGTATTTGTTTTTTATTATTACTATTTCTGGGAAAGTCTTAACTTTCCTGTTTCAGTCCTTGAGTTTTTGCTCCTCTCCTACTTCCTAATGGTATTTCATCAGATCACATACAGTTAAGGGTAGGGTCTTTGTATGTGTGCGCATTCATGCTCTCAACAAAATCTGGCACAAAGTAGGGAGGGGTACCAGTATCTTCTGAACCAATGAAGTGTATTTTAGTGAGGATGGCTGCTGTACTGGTTTTCTGGCTTGGCAGAATTATTTTAATCCTATTCCATGTTTCATTTAAGACAACACTTAAAAATTTCTATTTTGAGACGGTCCATTGTCTGTCATTTTATGTGTGAATTTTAAACTTTCATTGATACACTTTTCTTACTTGACAAACTCAGTGCCTCTCTCCTAACCACCTTCCATACCGTGTTCAGTATGTTAGCTACAGAGGCATAGAGACAGAAAGGTGGTACATTGCTTGTTATTGTAATTTTGAAACTCCTCAAAGTTAGCAAAGGAGTGAGGATGTGGCAGTTTCTGTACAGCACATGCAGAATTCTCCCTCCCTTCCTCCCTCCCTCCCCCCTCCTGTCTCCTCCCTTCCCTCCCATCCCTCTCAGATAGGTTCTCACTCTAGCTTGGGCTGGTCTAGACCTCACTATGTAGCCAGGCTGGCCTAGCTTGAGGCAGTGTTGCTGTAGCCTCACTAGAGCTGAGTTTCTGTACAAACCACCATGCCCAACTTAATCTTTTTCTTACATAGAAAGACTGTTACTTGTGTAACAAATATTTTGCAGTGACTTTTGAACTTTGAAGGTACAGTGTTGTACATTGTATTTTGTAGTTGAGCTTTATACTGTTAACTTACTTGATATTAAAGGGTTATAGCCAGAGGCTTTTCAAAAAAGCTATTTTATATAAAATGTTAACCGAAACCCACAAACAGCATTTCTTCATGAGTGATTTTGTTTTTCTTACCCCCCCCATATACACACAACAGAGGGAAAGGTTTCCAACAGGTGTCTGGTTACTTGTTTCTATTACTGGAATAAATTACTCTCTAGGGAATAGTGGTATTGATATTTGCCCAATATATTTGCCAGATGCTGTAGTATTCTGTACTAGGTAAGAACTATGCCTTTCCCGTTGAAGTCTTTGCTGCTGAATTTGCTGTCATGTTTACAGTCTGTAGTAAAGATGTCTTTTATAGTTGATATTATAATGGATTGTCCATGTCAGGACCAAAAGATGGAACTGATTATGCTTGTAAAATATATCATTTGCTTTGATCTAAAGGTTGTTGTCATCTGTGTCCTCTTTAGGGAAGCTTTTTTATAACTAGACATGTAAATGCATTATTAACGGTGTGCATCACGAGCTCCTAAAAAATAGATAATATATTTTCTTTCTTAAGGAATGATCAAAATGGTAGTTGCTTGGAAAGTGTATTTCCTCTAAGTAAGCTCTGGGTTAGCGTAGTACCTGTCTGTGTCTAAATGCATGACATGATGCAGGGACTTAGGGTTCAAGTGTATGTTAAACCAGCGACGCAGTGAGTTTAGAACGGAATGGCTTGTACAAAAATCAATAATTTGGGGAACTGAAGCGATGGTACAGTGCTTGAAAGAACTGATTGCTCTTCTACAGGACAGGAGTTTAACTCCCAGCACCCACAGGGAGGCTCACAAGCAACTGTGACTCTGTCCCAGGGGATTGGATGCAGTCTTGTGATATTCACAGGTGCACACACATACATTTATACACACAGACCAAAACACATAAAATAAAAAATCTTATTAAAGGGCAGCTTTTATATATTTCTTTCCTTCTGAGATACTGTCTTGTGTTCTAGCTCTGGCTGGTTTGGAGCTCACTGTAGCCAGGCTGGACTCAAACTCATGGCAGTCTCCTGCTTCAGTCCCCAGGGTGTTGGAATTATAGGCTTGCAGGATACCTGGATTTCTACTTCAATCTTAGTTAAAGCTTTAGGATTCAGGCTTTTTGTGTGCATTTTAAAATGATCAGATCATTTGATACTAATCTTTTATACTGATCTGTGATAACTAACATTTCCCTGTAGTATTTGATCCTATTAAATTGCTTTAATGCTGGCATTAAACTTTTAGGAATCTTAGAAATTCCTTTCTTGATCTCTATGAAACTATATTAACTTGTCAGTGAATGCTGACTATTCATTTGAAGGTTTGCTTTTGCTAAATTTTCGTCTTCAGATGGCTCTTAAATGCAAACAACCTAGTGAAGGCTGTAAGTCCATTTTCACCACTCATTAGCATGATCCTATCATGCTCCCTGTATAGATTATCACTTAAAGCCATTGTCTAAACCTCAACTTGGCTCCGCTTCCTAAGTATGATTGCCTAATGCCGGGCATTGGTGGCGCACGCCTTTAATCCCAGCACTCGGGAGGCAGAGGCTGGCGGATCTCTGTATGTTCCAGACGCAGGACAGCCTCTAAAGCTAACAGAGAAACTCTGTCTCAAAAAAAAAAAGTATGATTGCCTAATGAATGTTTTGTGTGGATTCCCTGAAGGCATCTGGTACATGGATTTTCTGATACAACTTGTTCAGAGATCCTTCATCTTTTGATGAAATAGTTTCTTTCTAATGTATGATGTCTTTGTTATCATTTCTACGTACGTAGTTGTTCATACTGGAGATCTGACAGCCTAGATCCTTCCCATGAGCTTATATTAATCCCCAGGTTGGCTTTATGCAAAAATTCAAATATTTGACTATATTAGATATTAAGGATCTGAAGATGAAGTAGTGAACAAAACCCAAACTCTTGCTCTTAGAGTTTACATTCTAATAGGGATACACGTAAAATAGATATAACTGATAATAAAAGCTAGGAAGAAATCAGAATAAAGTAAAAAATAATAGGCAGAATAGAAGAGAGATCTTGCCTAGAGATCTTATAATGAGATATTTATGCAAGAACCCTGTTTGTCTCCTAATCCTGACAGCGTTTAGTTTTTGTTTTCTTGATGTTAGCCATTGTTGCAGTGAGAGGGAATCTACAGTTTTCATTAGCATTTCCTTGATGGCTAAGGATGTTGAGTACTTTTTAATGCATATATTGAAAATTGGTTAGTTCACTTGCCCACTTATTGGTTATACTATTTGTTCTTTTGCTGTTTAATTTCATTTTTATATTCTGGATATTAATCCTCTATCTGATATATAGCTGGCAAAGATTGTCTGTAGGTGGTCTATTAACTCTGCTGGTGTTTCTTCAGATGTGTTAAGGATTTTAGCTAGTGGCCTTTTTTTTTTTTTAAGGGAGATGGGGTTTGGCTCAAGGATTATAGGGTATAGTCCCCCATGGCAAGGAGAACATGGCAGAATTAATGGTATTGGAAACTTGTAGCAGAGTCTCCTTACCTGGTGCTAGACAAGAAATCTTAGCTTGTTTTTTAAAGCACAGATCTGTCATTGTTATTCTGCACATGGTTCCTCATTGCCCATCCACAGATGGATGAAGTCAGTTCATAAACATGATCATAAACAGATTAATGTCCATGTCTGTAGACTATTATAAAGCAGCTATGAGCTATAAGTGGTAGCATTCTATATTGGATGTAAGATACATGAAAAATTATTTTTTGAAAGAGCAATCTCTAGTAGGAGGAAAATGTAAAGCCATTAGTAAGAATTTATGCGATAGGGACACTTGTGAAATGAATACAGCTGGAATCCCATTCACATATATTGTTGAATTGCAGTTAAAATACAGAAGATGAACCGGGGGGTGGTAGCATGATCATATGATCCCAGCACTTGTGAGACTGAGGCAGGATTGAGTTCCACGTCAGCTTGGGCTTCACAGGAGACTCTGCCTAAAAAGCAAAAAAAAAAGAAAGAAAGAAAGAAAGAAAGAAGATGTATGTTTGCATATATTTTTCAAATTTCTGGATAATTATAGCTTCTATTGATTATGTTGACCATCAGCCAGTTAGCCACGTGTTTCTATGTATAAAAGTATATGTATATAGAGTTATGTATTATATAGTGGGATGTAAGGAATAGTTTACCCAGAAGTTTTCCTCTTCTTGAAATTAAGGAAAAAAGTGACTACAAAAAGTCATTTTTTTCCACAGAAGGAACAAACATTTTTTTCAGGATTTTCTGCATGTTTTGCTTTAGAATTTGTTAAATAATATTCTCATTTAGGGTTAGAGCTGGAATATCTGCATTTCTATTTTAAATCTCTTATTTTTCCTTTGCCATATATTTTATATGTGTTGGGATTCAAACTTAGGATTTCTAATGCTAGAGTCTTGAACACTATGCTGTTCTATAGTTTGTTATGCTTTTACCATGATTATTAATATAAATGGAAGTAAATCTAGCTTTCTAGTTTTAGGGACTTTTCCCTCCCTCCCTCCCTCCCTCCCTCCCTCCCTCCCTCCCTCCCTCCCTTCCTTTTCTTTTTTTTCCTGAGACAGGGTTTCTCTGTAGCTTTGGAGGCTGTCCTGGAACTCACACAATAGACTAGGCTGGCCTTGAACTCACAGAGATCTGCCTGCCTCTGCCTCCAAGTGCTGGAATTAATGGTGTGCAATACTGCTCCTTGAGGGAGTTTTCTAATTAAGTCGAGTTTCATTATGGAGTAATGTACCAAACAATACTTTTTTTTGTACAAGATTATATGTAAAGGGAAGCCTTCCCGCCAGCCTGTTCCAAAGCCGCATCAGTCCCAAATAAACACACAGGAGGCTATATTAATTATGAAGCTGTTGGCCTTGCTTGTTTCTTACTGGCTAGCTCTGACTTAAGTATTTATTCAATAATTGCTAATCTAAGTATTTCTCTTACCGGAGAGGTTTCCGGGCTTACCCCATGGCGTTACATCTTGACTCTTGTGTTTCTTCTGTGTTTCTCCTACCCAGAGTCCTCCTGGACTCCTAGTCCCACCTATCTTGGTTCCCTATTGGCCAACAGTGCTTTATTGACATATACCCAGGACTTTCCCCATCAATTATATAGCTTTATTATTACTTTCTTAATCATATGATGTGATGTGCTAATTCACAAAGGAGACCAGATTAGGTGCTGTTACTAGGTCAGAATTTTCACCAGAGCTTCTAGAAGCTATCCTGTTGGATTCTAGGTCACTGAAGTCTGTTTTAGGATTTAGGTTGTAAAGCCAGAGCAAGATGTAATACATGAAATTAAAGTTACCTTTGAAAGTCTCTATTTTTTACAGTCTGCTGTACAACTCATACTGAAGTTAGCATTTTTAATTTTTGCTTTTTGGCATGAGTTACTGAAATACAGTGTAACAGGTCTCTGCCACTGCTTGAGCACTCTGTTCTTTCCACAGTGCAGAATGATGATGCCTCCCTCCCTCCTCCCCCTTCTCCCTCCCCCCTTCCTCCCTCCTCCCTTCTCCCTCCCCCACCCCTCAAGTAGGGCATAGCTCAAGGGCCTTAAGTCCTGAGTGCTATGATTACAGGCCTGAGCCACCACACGGGTTTAGTGTTTTAAAAAGGTAATTCAGGACACTTTGTTATTCTGTCCAGTGCGTCTCATTGGCGTTTCATCTCACTTGGCTTTCCACCACTGCCTTCAGGGGCCTGTATGCTCTAGACTGCATTCTTTGATTTTATCGTCTGTCACCCTTTGATGTAATACCTTCATTCTTATTAGCTCTTGTTTCTTGCTGCTCCCGATAAACTTTCACCTCAGGGCCCTTTTTCTTGCTGTCTGTTCTGCTTGAGGACTCTTGTCTAAATGTCGGATGCCTTTCCTCGTCAGGGATTCACAGATGATCCGTCTAAAACCCGCGTTCCCGCTTCTTCCTTGGCTCCCCTTCTGTAGCATGTGCCCTGTTTGACACACACTGTAGTGTCAATACAGTGTCCTCTTCAACTAGTGCGGCTGCTTCACTATGGCAAGGATTCACTGCACTTTGTACCCTGGACATTGTTTAGCTCAAGTTGGTGCTTAATCACCACTTGTTAATTAGTGTTCTAAAGTTCATTGTTCTTTTTTACATTGTCTTTGAAAAAGAAAAGCAAATATTTTCAGATCATAAAGGAATTGGGAAAAGGAACTCTAACCATATTTTCTTCATCTTAGCATAGCTTATTGGTTCTTAAATTTCTTTCATACCTTTACTTAAAATTAATCATAGCTTACGTTTTTCCACAGATTTTTCAGTTCTGTTAGTACTTCTGTATATAACTGTTAAGAAAAACAAAAAAACATTCAAGACTAGGCATGTTATCTATGTAGAGTGGGATCTTATTTTTCCATGCTTTCTATTATTGTCTAGCTCTCTTTCACTAGCAATTTTCAGTTGAAGTTGAAATTCCACAGTAAAAACAATGGAAAACTTGTATCATCACTGCTGCTCCTCATCATTGTTGCTGATAAAATTCCAATTGTCTGTTGGTGTAATTTCAAGCCCTTTGTAAACTCTGCAGTTTGAAATAGGGGATAGGATGAGATGCTTTTGTGGCAGGTATTTAAAAATGTTCTCTATCTAAATAAAATTGCATAGGGTGATTTAATATAGCATGTGAGAAGTGGTAGTTGTACAATGAAATATGTTTTGTTTTATAGGTGATCATGAATCAGGCAGATAAAAATCAAGAAATCCCGTCTTATCTTAGTGATGAACCACCAGAAGGTAAGTGTATCCAACACTGAGAATGGAAGGAACATACTGGAAATTAAAGCTAGGATAGTTTGTAAGAATTAAATATAAGAATCATAGTCTTTTTATCTGGTCCATAAACATGTTAAAAAATAATTTAAATATTTTTAGCCTTTAATAAGAAAGCACAGACCTTCATGGATAAGTATAATTTCCATTATTTAAGGTTTATTTTCTTGTCACACTTTTAAGACTATTTCATTAGCAAGAACATCTGTCTATTTGAAAGGTGTGGGAGGTGTAGGGTGATCTGTTTATTATTCATGCCTTGCATGCAACTATACCTAAGCCAAGGCTTGAGATTTTAAAAATTCGTGTCATTTATTACGTTATAACCGATATAATCCAAACTGTAAAAATAACAGTAAAAATCTTGTAGATAAGCCCAAAAGATGGATGCACTTGTCTGCCATGGTGCTGACATATGTACTCTCAGCACTCTAGGCAAAGGAAAGGATATCAAGTTCACAGCTTGTCTCCATAGTGAGACACCCCCCACACACCGAGGAACTATACAGTTGGTTTAGTGGAAAAATAACTTGACAATTCAGCTCAGTATTTTGCTCTTATTTTTTAAAAGAACCGTTTGCATAAGTTTAAAATATACTCTGGGTATATATAATTTACATATATATAGGTTGTGAATGTATGTTTTCTATTTCTGTGTTTTGCTTTTTAAAAACTTGTTAACTAGGTGTCATGGAGCACGCCTTTAACCCCAGCACTTGGGAGGCAGAGGCAGGTGGATCTCTGAGTTCAAGGTCTACATAGTGAGTTTCAGGGCAACCAGGGCTACATAAAGAGACCCCGTCTCAGAAAATGATAAACAAAGCACAGCACCTCTTTTGTTTCCTTTGGATATAGGGTCTCTGACAATTTATGCCACCATTCCCTGGTCCTCATCTTCAGGAAAAGACTGTATTACAATAAAGTTAAACATACTTCTCTTTTGAGACAGGGTCACCTTACATAGCCTAGGTAACTTTGAACCAAGGTCCTCTTGCTTCCTCAGTGCTCTAATTACAGCGTGTCTGATGACACAGAGCTCCTTGCTTTATTTTTTTTTTTAGGATTTAATATAATTTTATAACTAATGTATTCAAATGCTTACCTGTATCCTAAGTCCTTTAATTTTAGCCATTTAAAATGTATTATTCTTTTTAGTTTTTAATATTTGTATTTTAAAAATAAATTTAGCAGTGGCTATATCTAACCTGTGTAATATCTTATTGGTTTTCAAATATTTGTTTTCCATATTTAACATACAAGTAAGTATCATGGTGTTTTCAAATAAAATTTGTTTTATATGACCTCCTTTCCCCATTTCTCAGCTCCTTTTTTCTGTCTCCTGTTTTTTCCAGTTACATGTGTTCCTTTGCCTTCATGTCCCCCTTTCCTCAGCCTCTTTTTGCCCTCCTTTGATCTCTTTAGATCCCGTTTGTACACACGTGTAAGCTATGAAAGTGAACATGCAGTCACTCCTTTCTGAGTTTGGTCCACCTCACTGAATATAGTGCTCCCCACGTCATCCATATTCCTGATCATGCACGCTGACTATAGTTCCACTGTGTCTGTACACCAGGTTTTCAGTATCATCTCTTGATGGGCATCTAGGCTGGCTCCATTACTCTGCTGCTGTAGATGGAGCAGCAGCAGCGAATGTGAATGTGCAGGTAGCTCTGGCTTATGGTGTGCTGTCTTGAGTATATGCCCAGAAATGGCATGCTGGGCCACACGATAGTTCTACTTTTAATTTCTTGAGAGACCTCCATGGTAATTTCCATAATGACTGTACTGATTTGCATTCTGTCAAGCAGTGAACATGGGTTTCTCTTTCCTCAAATCCTCGCCAGCATTGGCTATTAGTTTTTTATTTTTATATGCATGTTTCGAGACAGGGTCTCTCTATATATAGCCTTGGCTGGTTGGGAACTTTGTAAGTGGATGGGGGATATCAGAACCAATTTTGCTTGTAAATGCCACAATGATACTTTGTGTATTAATGTGGAAGATAAGTATTTAGAAAAATAAGCAAACAAACAAAAACCTACATAGGTACCTGTCTTCCTGCTTCTACCTCCTGAGTGCTGGGATTAAAGGACTGTGCCACTGCAGCTGGCCTTACTGGTTTTGATGGTAGCCATTCTTACTTGGGTGAAATGGTATCTCACAGTAGTTTTAATTTGCATTTTCCTGAGGGCTAAGGTTATAAAATACTTTGATTGGCTATTGCTTTTTGTATATATGATTTTCATACTTTAAGAAAATAAAATTTGGATATTCTCTGATGTACAGCTGGCAAAGATGTTCTCCTGTTCTGTAGGCTGTTTGCTCTTCTGATTATTTTTAATTCCACGTAGTCCCAATTGTTCGTTCATTATTTCCTTCCTGATGCACTATTTAGAATAATCACCAAGGTTTTCCCAGTTAGAATGTAAAGCAATGAAAATAAATATGAATATATTCATTGTCTTAGAAAAGCTCAATTTTAGAACTTGATTTCAAATAAGAGATTTGTCACTTAAGTGACACTGTGCATTTTTGTAAATCTTTACTGTTTGGAGTGATGGAAGGCAGGCACATTCTTACAGTGCTTCTATAGTCAGTCTCGTGTGCTGTATGTTATCTGGTGAGGTGAAGACACAATGCCATCTTAACACTACTTTGAAAGAGGAAGTCCTTAGAGATTCCCAGAGCTTCTTGAGAACCACATTATATGAAGATGATTATTTTGGTAATTATTGATTGAACCCTGCATCTGAAATTAAAGGATACATATATTTTTATTTTTTCATACTCTTTAGGGTAAAATTTTAGTGATAACCCTGTGAATTGGAAAAATATTTAAAATCCTTTAAAGTAGGACTCTATTGTAGAAAGCAGTTTAGTTTCTACAGTATTTCTTGTTATAGACAAGACACAGCACTGAGACTATTCTGGGGTAGATATGGATGTACATCTGCTCACTCCTGATAGGAAACCACCAAGAGACCCAAGTCCAACTTGGGAAACCAGCGAGTTTAATTGGGTTACTTACAAGAGTAGAAATGATTCAAAGACAGCTGTACCACCAAAGTCCATTCCAGTGTGGTGACAGACAGCTCACAGAAGCTGAAAACTGCAGACAGCTCAAGGTTGAGAGTGTCCTTTCCAGGCTGCTCAGCTGGCCTGTGCTTCTCCCAGCATCCCGCTTGTCTGAACGTCTCTCAGCAGTCCTGACAGCTTATACGTGCTTGGGGAAGAAGGCCTGGTAAATCTGGTCTGTTTCATGAACTTCCTGAGGCTATTTTGATTTGTTTACTTTTTTAGCTTGAGGAGCTTCTAGAATGGAATACTTTCTTTAATAAAATATTTGTGTCTTAACTAGCTTCCCTCCAAAATAGAAGATTTTAATTTCTGAGGAAATTGCTACACAACACTAACTGTGGTGGTACGTTCCTGTAATCTCAGTGTTTGTGAGCAGAGGTAGGGAAATTGTGAGCTGGAGGAAAGCATGGGCTACATTAACAAGACCTCACTTCGGGAGACTTAGCTCTGGGCCAAGGTATAATATACACCTTCTGCAGCTGCACTTAGGCAGGAGCTCCTTACTGTTCACTCACATAGTGGAGCTTGTCAGCTGAAAGTCCTGGCTATAGGGAGGTTACTCTGTGGCTTATACTATTCTACTTGTATTTAACCATACTTAACCATTTTCTCTCTTAGGGTCAATGAAAGATCATCCACAGCAGCAGCCAGGCATGTTGTCTCGTGTGACTGGAGGGATCTTCAGTGTTACAAAGGGAGCTGTTGGCGCCACCATTGGTGGTGTGGCTTGGATTGGTGGAAAGAGCCTGGAGGTGACCAAAACAGCTGTTACAACTGTGCCTTCCATGGGAATAGGGCTGGTGAAAGGAGGCGTGTCTGCCGTGGCTGGAGGTGTGACAGCTGTTGGTTCTGCTGTTGTAAACAAAGTGCCCTTATCAGGAAAGAAGAAAGACAAGTCTGACTAAGAGACGAGGTACACTTGCACACTTGCTCTCCACAGCACTTGATGCCAGTGGCATTGAATTGCTCAATTACAGACTACAGCCAAGTCAGCTAAACTGCTGTGTTGAAAGTATTGATGGCTGGCTTCGTCTAAAACAAGAAGAGACCAATACTATCCCAGTGTATGGAGGCTTCTCATACTTAAGTTCAGCTTTTTATCTGGTAAAATGTTACACTTACTCAGTTGTAACTGAAGATATGGTCTGTTTAAATATTTGCTGTAAGTCTTTCAGTTTGACTAAAATGTGAAAGTTCAACTAAGTAGATGACTTTACAGTTCCATGTGTACAGTGTGCCAGGTGACTCATGACCCTTACAAAGGGACTCCTGAACTACATAAACTGTACCTTTGATGTGCCTAATAGTTTCAGGTGTCTTAGTTTTTTTTATAACTATAGTGGTTTAGGCCAAGAGGCATTCTTATTTAAGCTGACAGAAAAGTAGCAGGAATTCAGAAGTTTAAAAGATAAATGGTTTTTATGACACTGTTAATTGTTTTTTCTTAGATAAACATCCTGTTTGTTTAATCATTGATGCCTTACAAAAGAAAACATCTTTTCTAATACCTTAAATTTGTGCAGTTCTTATAATTATCAGTGAATTCTTTTAAAGGTTGTTAAACTAGTTTTCCCTCTTAAGAATCTCAGGAGTGTTGAGGTAAAGGCGTTTCCTGATGTCAGTGGGTAAGAGAGTGCTTGTTAGCTGTTGTCAGTAGTTCGCATCAAACATATGCTTCAGTTGGGTTCATGGTTCCATCAGTAATACGCCCCACAGTGCCTATGGAACATTTCTTAGCTGACCAAAAGCTGTGTGGGAATAGTTTTAGATTAAGAAAGAACAAGCATTAGTTTTTAAGTTATTATAATTATCTGAAGCATCTTAAGATAATCCTTCATGCATATTCTGTCTTTAGGATGTCCTAAATTATCAGTAGCAATTTCTGTAAAAGTATAATACAAGCAACCACAAATATATGAGGATTGACTCTTCAGATGAATGAGATGGGCTCCATACATCCATACATTGGCTTTGAATAAAAAATACATAAGTGCTTTCAATGACTTATGTAGGGTTTTTTTGTTTGTTTGTTTGTTTTTGTTTTTTTGCTTGTTTTTGTTTTTGTTTTTAAGATGGGATTGATCTCCTGTAGCCTAGGCAGGTTTTGAACTGGATATGTAGCTGAGGAAAACCTGGAGCTCCTAATCCTTTTGCCTTCATTCCCCAAGTTCTGGGATTACAAGCATGCATGAGACACCATGGTGTCTCATGCGTGGTTTATGTGATGCTGGGGATGGAACCCAGGGCTGCATGCATGCTAGGCAAGGGTTGTACCAGTTGAGCTGCATCTGCAGTCAAACTTACTTATGCTTTAAAATATGTTCTCTTACAACCCTTTAAAGCAGATGTAGACATTCTATTTTTCAAGCCAGTTTCAGGTAGTGTGTTGTCTTAATGTGTCATCATAGCTCATTCATTCTCATAGAACGTAACTCAAAAGTCCATTTCTTTTTGTTTCAGTGTTCAGTTTCATGAAAATTTAATAACTGAAATATATATTTGGCATTTATTTTATAATCTAAGCCTGGGGGGAAAAGATCTTAATTTTCTTTATGCCTAAAACTAGAAATCTGTCTCTATTCTGCCCGTTCAAACTCCCTGGAGAGAGGATGGGAGTGGTGCCTTGACATAGATAAGTCAAAATGTTGTGCCCCTGAGAAGGTGAGACCATCACCCTAACATGTAGATTTGAATGTTTGTAACTCTTATGAGAACCCTGTTAGTAGTGTGGATCAACAACTGCATAAAACATACATTTCACAGCATTCATAAATAACAGCAGGACTTCCAAGCAAGTCTATAAATGTTCTTGGACCTTTATGCTTGCTTACACAAGACTTAAAATCATTGAGTTAAATTCAGAAGGAATTAAAAGGCCGTTTAGTTCATGAGACATAATTTAAGAGACATTTGTTGGTACATCTGGTGAAATGTCTTAACAAATGGTCTTTTTTTTAAATTCCAAAATTAAATAGACCCATTCTCAGTGATCTGAATAATGGTTTTGGAGAACTTGATTCCTGCTATTTAGAAAGGATTGATTCATTGCTAGTTTGTATTCCTAACTTACAGGCTGTGCTTTGTACTTGAATTCGTCTGAGTGTAGACTTAGTTTATGTGTGCTTGCATATTTATTTTCAACTTTGCTTGTCTTTAAAATCACTTGAGGAAGTGGCTATAATTAATTTCTGCTACAGAAAAGCCACCTGGTAAATTTTCTCAGTTGTCTTAAATGCTAAGTACAATTTTGTTCAGAAGGCTTTTTTCAACAATAGCGGAGAACTGTACAGATGTATGGTTAGCTGTAGTTCTAACTGAAGGGAACTTGCCATTTGATGATGTATACAGCTATATACTTGAGTCTCTTCCAGTTTATTTCCGTAGACTAGCAATTTGACCTGTTAAACAGGACTAGTTCACTTCAGAAACTATGGTTGTTGTATACACCTGGGAGCATCTGTTATTCAGCTCCTCTTTTGAGTGAGTTTTGGCACAGTGAGGATGAATTTGTGTGATCCACTTGAATAACTGATCTAATAATGTTGACATATGAATACTGTATCTAGTGAAATGTCAGATGAAAACAGCTGATTGAATAATGCGGGTTTTTTTGTATTAAAGGGATGGGAAAGAACACACAAATCTGATAATAAAGGACTGTGATCTGCAAAGATGGAATGTTTCATAAAGATCTACAGAAATAAAGGCAATTTGTAAACAGGATCTTCTTAAAACTTTTGGTTACATAGCAGTTCAGGAAGTGCTGTAGCCAGCTTTTTGGTGATATTTTACAAACACGATACTTGGGTGTGGACAGAACAGTAAAATACAAATACAATTTAAACAACTAAGACTGAAAACTCAGGTGTCTGGGCTTTGTCATCTCAGTTTGCTCAGTCTCTGCAGGGTAGGCCCAAGACTTTTAACAACCTTTGTGGGATATGCTTAGGTACACTAAAGTGTGAACCCTGAGGAGTTACACCTCTATTGTATATTGTTAGGGGGCCAAACTAGATTGCTGCCACAGGGATCCCATGCCCACTTCTTCAGGGCTGGGGTTACAAGTGAGTGTCATTACAACTGGGCTTTTTTATGTGAGCTCTAGCAATCAAACTTAACTCTTAGGTTCTAAGCCCTCCTCTTCCATTCCTATCAACCCACTCCACATAGTCTTCTTGCTTCTCTGTTCTACCAGCCACTCTTGATAAGGTCAACCGGTGATTGCCCTTTTCCAACTTTATTAGTTACTTCTCTACATCTTGGTTGGCTCTTCGTGGTAATCTCATCTACAGCCATGGCTTTAAATGCTACAGTGATGCAAGTGGCGCTGATGTTTCTCTCCGCTTCTGACTTCTCAGCTCTGTACTTGGACGTTTGCTTGTTACTAACCACCTCACAGTTGACAGGTAACTGTAGAGACCACAGAGCCTGTAATATATTTCAAACCTGCCTTGAGAGCTCGGGCAAGTGCATGGATTACTGATAACTGCCAGGACAATGCTGTAGCGGTTCCCCATGCTTAGAATGAACTCCTGCCCCTTAGATGATGGACCAGTGAAGCTGCTCACTTTGTGCTGCACCGTGTGAAGCATCCACACACATTCATTCATGCATATACTCAAGCACACACTTGTGATTGAATCCGAGGTGAAGCATGCACACACGTTCACCCATGCATGCACTCAAGCACACACTTGTGATTGAATCCGAGGTGAAGCATGCATTAAGCTGCCTCTGGTCTTAGCATTTCTCTTGGACAGTCCTGAGTGCTTCAGGTAAGTGCCTTACATTGAGTCTCACTGGAGAACATTAAGTATTCTTAACTTCCTGAACACTTGTTGCTACTTAATATCCCAGCTAAGGAATGAACAGATTTGGACAGTGATAGATACGTGCCTTTAATAAGAGAATGGAAAAGGACACTGGCCACTCGGATTCATTATATCTCAGAAGCTGTGCAAGCTGCAGTCAGCTGGTTGTGCATTACAGCCAATGAGTATTACAGCTGTTAGAAATGGTACAGCTGAAAGCCAGTCTTTAACTGGGTAATGCTTATCTTGGGGCAAGATTTAGAAATGGAGTGGGAATGCTACAACTAAAAGTAGTATCACATGAAGTCTACTTTCAGGCTTTCTAGGAAATTGCATTCATTTCAATTGCATGAGTTAAGTTTGAAATTTCAGCTTCCATACCCTTGCCCGCTCCTGGAATCTGTTTGCATTCCTTCCTTTTGCTGTACAGGCAAAGGTGGGAATCTTCTATTCCTGAGGCCAAAGAGAATTCAGATCTTAATACAACTGGTGTCTGTGATAAAATGAGATTCGTAGTGAATGTGTGTGTCTTAGAGATGTCAAATCGATCATGGAAGTAGGCTCTTAACTAACCCTTTTAACACTTTTAACTAACCCAAGTAACACTTGTCAAAGACACTCATTCCATACACAAGGTGAAGCCAGTCCTCAAAGGAATGTGTCATTGACTTGTTAGTGATTGAGGGCTGGTGGTGAGGAATTACACTTTGGTTTTGTTTTGTTGGTTTTTTTTTTTTTTGGTTTTTTATGAGACAGGGTTTCTCTGTATTGTTTTGGAGGCTGTCAGTCCAGCCCAGCCTCGAACTCACAGAGATCTGCCTGCCTCAGCCTCCCGAGTGCTGGGATTAAAGGCGTGCGCCACCACCGCCCGGCGGAATTACACTTTGGTAGCAGCGTAAGAACAAAATTGTTCATGTGCTCCCATCAAAAGTGTGTTCTTGTCATTTCCTTCAAAATGATCCATGTGAATTTTCACATTTTATGGTGTTTTGGAGTAATAGTTCAAGGTCAAAGTTACTAATTTTATTTAAGCACAGTTTATAATATTTTAAAACACAGCAAATGAGTCAGAGGCCGTCACTTATGAGGAGTTGTTTAGTCTTTGTGAATTGGTCACTCACTGCCTGCTACAACTAAGCTCCATGTCACTCTTCCACATGTAATGATGCCACAGGGTTAAACAGCGGCCTACCTTGCTTGGCTTGCATTTTGCTAAAGTTAGCCTCAAATTCCTTTTTTGTTCCATTTAGACTTGCTAGATGCCCATCCTTTATTCTGTAGCCTAAAGAATTCAGCTTCCTCATCCTGTATTGGATGATCTGTGGCGTCAACTCAAGGACCATTGGTGACTCTCTTATTTGAGTCACAGTGATTCCTTCCTTCAGTAGTGCCTGGATCCTCTCTTCTAGAACTGTGGCAGGGTAACACAGTAGTGCAGGGCAGTTCACAACCAACTGTCGCAGGTCATGGTCTGTGCACTCGAAAGTGGCCTTAGTGAAGGACATACTGCTCTGGATGCTTCCTGGCTGGAGTTGAAAAAGAAACCCTTTAAGTTTGGACAGAAGCTGCAGAACTTCAGAGTTTGTGAAGCCTTGCCCTTGAAGAAACTGTAGTACCTGGGCTACAGCTGTGGGAGAACTTAACAGAATGAATGGATTTTGGCTCAGTAACTTTAGTAACCACACTTTAGCATTGGCCTGAGAGCCGCCGAAGTTTAGGTAGCTCTCCTGGAGAACCCCAATCATTCGCCGGTTGTTCTCTACAGGATTATGGAAAATGCTAGAGGCAGTCGTCAGAAACCTGCTAATCACCACATTCTTGAGTCCCAGCTCTTGAAAGAACTGGACGTTCAGCTTCTGGTTCTCCTGGTCCTTGACGGTAAAGAAAGGTTCTGGAAACTGCTCTATTAACCGGATTAGCTCTGCCTCGTTTTTGCAGACCATCTGCCAGAGTTTCTTTTTGCCATTGACAGCAGCAGGACTGCAGACAATCGCTTCTGGGCAGCGCTCTAAAATACTGGCTATCACAGTTTTGTTGGCACCGAGTTCTTTAAGAATATTTGCAATTTCTTCAACATAGGTGTTATCCTCCAGAAGTACCCACGCTTTCAGTCTGCGGATCTTCCTGATGTCAACCGAACATGCATGGAGCCTTCCCACTGTTCTCTTGCTTTCTTTGTTTGCCTGGCTGTCCGTTTCATAGGTGACGTATGCTGAATGTTTGGTTTTCAGAGCTGGTTGTGGCTTTCTGAGAAGACACAGTCTGCAGAGCTGGTGTCCTGTCAACATCCTCCACGACATGCTGTAAGCACTGGCTAATTCCCATATCCTAAACTGACAATGTCCACATTGTGCCTGTAACGAAGATGAAGAGTTTAAAGGAATGCCAGCTTCTAGAACAGACACTTAGAAACCTGAGTTCTAAGCAGTAACTGGAAATGAAAGATTTACACTAGCAAGGAAACCCTACCCGATTATAATACATTACCATAATTCAAGGTATGTCATCCTTTATTTACATCGGCTGTCTGAGCTCTGCACCCACCCTGTGAGGTAGGCCTCCATTACAGGACAGAAGGCCATGGCTTCAAAGGTTTATAGGCCTCAACTGTTCTGACACAAATTCCCTTTCCTACAGCAGTTATGTTTCTCTTTTTAGGTAGCATATTACATAAGTAATTGTTTTTTCAAGATTTATATTTTCAAGTTGATGTTTATATTTTTCAGGTAGATACTTAGGAAGGGAAGCAGTCATTCACTGGTTTAAAAAAAAGTATTTTTGCTGATGAGCTATAATCCAAACAGGTCAGTCTGTTTTATTAGAAATGAGTTCATAGATGCATATTTGCTTTATTAGAACTATGTAAACTTGCAGCTTGTTTTTATAAATTCAGAGTTAAGGTCGGTTTTAGCCAGGCACCCTGAGAAGTGCTACGTGATGGCCTCTGGAAATCAGGTCAACTGTGTGACAGTGACCCTTCACCTAGTGCTACTCCAGCCATGCCTAACCTGGCTCTAACTTAGGGAGTAATGTTGGTAAGTTAGCTGCCTTCAACTAAACACAGTCGTGACTTGATCAGAACCTCACACTCTACCCAAATATTGCGTGCCATCTCCATCTGAAGCACTGCCGCCTCTACTGCCATCATTGGGTTCTGGCTGGCTCATGCAATAAAGCAACATAAAGTCAACAGGAGAGTGTGCACATTTATTTCATACAAGTTGTACACATGCTCAAATGGGCAAACAGATGTGAGGAAGCAGCCCCACTATGTGACAAGGTATTTCAGTAAGGCCTGGTCTGGTTATCTTTAGGGTGTTACTCCTCTTAGTATAGTGGGGGAGGTTTCCCAGGAAAGCTTCACCCACTCTTGAAGAGTCAGGTGGCGTCTGTGTGTCATGGGATCAACACACCAACTCCTTCTACACTGTGTCTTGTTTCTGGTAGCACGCACATGCCCTAGGATTTGGTAAATATTAGTTCTGGGGAGTGTTCTTGGAGTGCAGCTGCCATACAGTGCTGTTTAGTCCTCTGCAGCTTCCTGTGTTCGTAGGTTTGAAAGGGTGAGTGCAAAGACGGCCATTTGCAGTCATGGTCATTACCAGTGCTATTGCCATATAGGCTGCTGACTTTACAGACCTGTCTTAGCCACATGATTACTCTGTAAGGGATGTTGCTTAGTGGTGCTGGATCACTCCTGGTGCCTATGGAAGCTAACACTGGAGACATAGCTTGTTTTACTTGCAGTTTAGGCAAGATAGAAATATATGTTGAAGCAGTTTCTACAAGAGCTTTCAGTTTTCACAGGAAAGAGGTGTAAGTACGATGGAGCCCAGGCAGATCTGGGTCGGGGTCTACTCCCTTCTCACTCTTGTTTCCCTACAGGAAGGCCTCTCATCTAGACCACATGCTGGGGGAGGGGTGAAGGCTCTGTAGTTGAACTGCATATGAATTACTATGAAGACAGTAATTCAAACAATGCCTCATGGGAAACTAGCCAGTGAGGATTAAAAAGAGCCTGCTCTGTAAATGAGACCAGCACCCACACCTTACAGGGGTACTGTCAAGAGTTAAACACATTTCAAGTACTTTGAAGACATACGGGCATCTAGTGTATCTAATAAATGGTAGTTACATTACCATTGGGAACTATAGGGAGCCAAAGTCTTGTAGTGATACAACTTTAAACTGAACTTTAATCTGAATTTGGGAGGGGTGGGTCTGGAAAAGGAGTCGGGGTGAACATGACCAAAATACATTATATGAAACGCTCAGAGAATAGAAGTATACTTAAAAAGGCTTTGAAGGGATTGCTTGGTTGTTCTTGTGAGACATAAAAGAGGCCATCTGGAGGAACGGGCCGCCCTCAGATACTCTGCAGGCACCTTGGGTTTGGTCCCTGCAGTCTCTAGAGCTGACGGGTAATAAGCCTCCATCATTGTGATGAACCAGTCTAAGGTGGTAACAGTCCACATGCATTAAAGCAAAATGTTTTCTTCTGCTAAACAAACCCCAAATCTCGAGTTTTAGATAGAAGTACAATTTACAAAGGGCAAACAAAATGTTTACATATGCCAGCTTTCCAAATAACCCCATAAAACACTCACTACAGACTTGCTGAATTCTGAGGAACATAAGCAGGTGAAAAACTTACAACTCCACCATTTATAGATAACTTAATACTTCGTTATTTTTGAGATAGGGTCTTGCTATATTGCTCTGGATGTGTAGTCCAGGCTAGCCTCAAACTCATGCACTCATGCACAGCCTCAAGTTGGAATTTCAGGCATGTGCTATGCTTGATGACAGCTGTTCACAGTTTACTGTTGTTCTTCTGATTCTCACTTTCTTGTTACAAAGCTGCACATGGAAATTATACCTGAATTCTGTCTTACACTGAGCAAGTCCCAAACAGCCAAGGGTTGGCGCAGATCTTGTGTAGCACAGGCACCAGATAAAGTACTAGCTTGATCTGAGGGTCCTGTCTTGCAAAATGATAGAACATTAGAGCCCCATTTTCATTGCCTATCAGATGAGGCAAAGGGAAAGGCAGGCTGCAACCCAGTCCCTGCTTACTGAGTGGTAAACCAGGAGGTGGTCATCAGGGCCAGTCAAGGTTGCTGCCTATCTTGCTGCCTTTCTGCTGGGCAAACAGCAGTGAAAATGGAAAGCCAGAATAATAAATGGGCATTACAACTTCTAAAGTCTAACTGGCATTAAAACGCGGGACAAGCATTTAGAACGAATGGCGTTCAGAGAGTGGCTGTGCTCTTTGCAGTTTTGCTACATGCTGAGCATTGCCTGCTTTTGTGTTTGCGCTTTAAAGTAGGTTTCTAGAATCCTAGAGAGGAGTGGAGAGCCACAAGGTTGCTATGCTCACGGTCAGGAAAACCCATCTAGGGTGATATCCTAAGGCACACAAGCATATAAGCAACTCTTGGTTATTCTGAAATGTAGGGGAAAAATTCATGTGTTTTGTTATGAGGCTGACCGTTGGCTAATATGTTATTCTTTTTCTCTGTGCCTTTTGATCCTTGATACATCATAAAAATTAACATGTATAAGTTTGATGTAAGGAAAACAATGTAATTTTTCTAGAATTGCATTCTCTGGTTCATTTTCAGTTGCCATCTCTTAGCACTTAAGAGTAATCACTTTTTTGAGAGAGAGGCAGAGGCTTCTTCCATTGCAGCCCTTTCTGTTCCTGCTCCCAGTGCGGGAGTGAGATGGAGCTGCCACTTTTAACAAGCTGTGGCGAGGTGGTGAGGAAGGCCCCTGGTCATCTCAACCCTGGTCAAATGTGTGGTCCAGTGGCACAGGGACAACTATTAGCCTCTACAGCTAGGCCTTGTCACACAAATTCTGCGCCCATGAAACAGTAACACTCCACCCCTGCCCTCACATCTGGAAGCCTCCACTCCCACTTTCTAGCTCCATTGTTGTTCCAGTAGGTCATTAAGTGAAACCATAGCAATCATTTTTTAAAATGTCTGGCTTATTTGATTTTGTGTAATGTTTTCAAAGCCCATTCATGTACCAAGTGTCAAAACAAGCACATTTTTCTTTAGCTTTTTAGGCACATTCATTCACAGCAGATTTTGTGTGTGTGTTTATGTGTATGGGACACACAACTCCTGGTGTCGGTCCCACCTTCTGTGAAGCAAGATCTTCCCATCATTTTGATGTCTCCTTTACTATACATCTGCACGGGCTTTGTTTGCAGGCAGTCTCTAACCTAGACAGGACGCCCCGGCTCCTGGCCTGTGGCACACACTTCCTGTCAGACCATCTTACTCTAGAAAGACTCTCTTGTGCACTGTCCACTGACAACCTCAGTTCGCCCAGCTCACAACTGTTGCTGCCGCTGCCCCGCCCCATGCTTCCTAATCTCTACCTTGTCTGCCTCAGCACGCATCCCCTCAACCTTGTGGTTTTCTAGTACATGTAAGAGCTGTCTTTACAACATCTATACTCTGTTAACCATGTGCAGCATTATGTGTGCAAAATAAGTTATAAAACACTTCATTGCTAAAAAATGCTAGTGATCACCCGAGCCTTGACTGCAGTCTTGGTAACACATGGTGTTGTCTCCCCTGAAACTGACGGCTGTGCAGTGAGCAGTGTTGATTGCTGAAGGTTGGAGTGACTTGAAAATGTACTCTTAAAAACTGTGTTTTGTTATTATTGCTGTATGTGTGTGGAGGCACCCGAAGTGGTCAGAGGACAACTCCGTGGACTTGGTTCTCTTTTCACCTTCACATGGATTGAACTCAGGCTATCAGGCTGCCTCAGTGGGTGCCCTGACTTGCTTAGCCATCGTGCCAGCCCTGCCACGTTCTTAAAAGACAATGGAGTCTCCTACTTCGATTGACCTACTCACAAAAGGCTTCTTTGTAGCACATGATGCTGTTTGATAGCATTTTCCCCAGAGCTGTTTCTAACCCGAAGCCACGCCTTTCAGACCGAGCGCTTTATCAGCTAACTTTATGTGACTCAAGTCCTTTGCTGTCTGTCATCTTCACAGGAATGGATTCCACAGCAAGTAACCACTTCCTGGTCATCCGTAAGACACAACTCCACAGCCAGGCGGTGGTGGCGCACGCCTTTAATCCCAGCACTTGGGAGGCACAGGCAGGTGGATCTCTGTGAGTTGGAGGTCAGCCTGGTTTACAGAGTGAGTTCCAGGACAGCCTGCTCCACATCTGCTAGAGTTTCAACTGAACAGCAGCCACATCTTGGGCTCCATTTCTAACCCTACCCCGTTCAATATCTCCTTCCTTCACAAGCCTCCAACCCTCGAAGGGGAGGAATCCGCTTCCTCCAACTCCCAGTGTGTTGGCATCTTGGCTCCTACCACAGACTTTTTAAACAGCAGTTGGAGTTGTGAGTCCTCCAGATGGTTTTTGATGAACTCTACCCTATCCTAGGACTTTGTACCTCAACAAAAAACTAAAGAAAGGCCAGCGGGATGGCAGGCAAAGGTGCCCATCACCATGATTTGTCTTTAAACCCAGAAGCAGGCATGGTGGGAAGAGAAATGACTTCTGCAAGTCGCCCTCTGACCTCTACACAGGCACCTTGACACGCACCTCTCCAACTTTCCCCACCCAACACACTCCTCACAAAGAGCACTAAAGACAAGCAGCGACTCGTCACTCACATGTCCACCTTGAGCTGGCCCTCTGAATCCCTCTTTCGTGTTCTGCAGTTCTGACGATCAGATCACCACTCCTGTGAGCTGACTCTCGGGTGTCCCCCCTGCTCTCTTCCCACGGCTCTCGCTAAGGCAGTGCCCTGCGGTGGGAGCCGATGAGTACTTTTCAATCCCTGTTCCCTGGCTTTCCTGGCTTCCAGCAGCTCCAACATGTGCCTTCAAATGTCCTCTTGTGACAAGCTGCCCCACCCTCCTGGTTCTCACAGCCCCACCCTCACCGTCCCTTTACAACTCATCTTTCTGCTTGGTTGTCTGAAATTCCTGCACCAGGAAGGCTGAGGCATGAGGGGCTTTTTGAGACACCAGCCTGGTCTACCTTGAGTTTTCCAGGTTATCCTAGGCTGCAAAGTAACAACTTTTCTCAAAAAACAAAAATATATTGCAATTAAAGGAAGAGACCATGACTTTGAGAGAGTAATGTGTGTGTGTGTCTGTGCTTAGCTATTGTTAGAGGAAGCAAAGGGAAGGGAAATGATGTAATTGTATTTGAATTAAAAATACACTAAAAATAGGTTTTTACAGTGGGGGAAAAAACAAATAAATATCCTTTCCCTCTTCCTTCCAGTCTCTCCCCCAAAGAGTCCGTCCCTGTCCCGACCTTCAGTCTGTCCACTTGGGGCTTCTCCGTAGCTTCTCAGATGTGATTTGTCACCTCTCTGCAATACACTTCCCAGTGGCACTTTAGGACAGACAGACAATAATTTTAGAAAAGATCCTGCCTGGGCTTTGCAGCCACCTGAATTCCCCATGTCCCTTAAATCACAGTGACTTCTCAGTCCCTGGGGCCCTAACTGATCCCACCACACAGTCTGTACGACTGGACTCGGTGACCCCAGAACTAAGTGTCACTTTCTTATGGAAAACTCTGGCCTTTCAGGTGAAAACTAATGTCCCCTTTATAGGCTTCCAAGCCACCATGGACTGTAACTCTACCTAGGATGGCTGTGACTTCATGTTTCTGCTCTAGTATCTCATAAGGGCAGACCCTCTGAAACATCATGTTCCAATAGGAGGTATTTCTCTGCCCTTCACAGGGAAAGAGGAGCAGGCACTTTTCTGCGTGCTTTTGACTTCACAGTAGCACATGCCAGTTGACCATGTATGCAGCTAGTGTTTTTTTGTTTTTGCTTTGCTTTGCTCTTCAAGCCCAGGGTGCTCTGCACTAGGTCTCCTGGTGAAACACTTCTTCATACTTCTTTTGGGACCACAACCCATCTGAGAACTTGAGAGTTAAAGACTTTCCAGAAAAATGGGGCCCACACCCTTTTCACTCCAGCAGTGACTTCAGCAGGATCTGTGAGCAGCCCGTAGTAACTGTGGAGGCAGGGAGGGAGCAGACTGAACGCTGCCGTTTATTCTCTGTAGTGAGCGCGTGGTCCACAGGGGAATGAAACCCAATCAACAAAGCAGAGGGAAACCTGTGCAGAGCCACGCGGCCTTGGATTAACGTCAGGAAGCCACTTCTGTGAGGATTCAGGGTTAGGCTGGCCTGCCCCTGTCACCTGTCTCCTGTCAGAATGCACTCAGGCGTAAGTACCCTGGTCAGCACGCAGGTGCAAAGGGCGCCTTCAAAAGACACTTAAGCTCTCTGTCCCTCTCTTCCCCGCGGCTCCCCTGGAGCAGACAGGACTTTTCCTGCCTCCCTCTTCTCTTCTGCCCTCTCTCTCTCTGTCTCTTCACCTCTTCTCTCTTTCCTCCTCCCGCCTTTCCCTTTCTAATAAAACTTCTCACTTAAGCTATGTCTGCCTGGCGTGTTTGTCCCCCGACGCTGTCACCCTCATCTGCCAAGGAATCCGCCAAAGTTCGCCTCACCCATTAAACAATTTCACCTTTCTGTGCCAGCCCTGTGGGCATCAAGAAGATAAGGCGCTACTTCCCAGTCAAATGAGTTAATATTACAAGTCGTTCAGAACGTTTAAATCCCTCACAACACACCTTAGAGGAGGAGGCAGACAGGGCAGCTAGCCCAAGGCTGCCCACCTGATAATGGGTCCTATGTGCAGAGGCGCGCGATACGTTTCTATACTTCAAACAGTCCACTCGGTAACTCCAGTTAGGCTCTGATCTGACAGTTTTAAGTGAATCCCAGTTTTGCAAGCAAACAACCACAGAGCTGGTCAGAGGAAGCTTTCACTCCAGGTCAGACACAGCGGCCTGAGCAGCCTCCCTTTTCCGGAGAAACTCCACGCGGGGTGCTCTGGGGACGGGTGAGCTGGCTTGGGGCTCAGCCTGAGCTGGAGGAAAGGAGTGGCTCACCTGTGGGCAGCAGGGCCAGCGCAGCGGGAAGCCCTGGGTTCAGCATTCCAACCTCTGCGCCCTGGAAACAGATCCCAAGAAACGTGGGGCCCTTGCCCTTGACTGGTAACCAATCAGAGCTCAGGAGACTGATGAGCAGGAAGCCACGCCCCGCTCCCGAGCGCAGCCAATCAGACTACGGGATGCAGCCGGATCCGCTCCCCCGTGGGAATCAGTGTGCCACACAGCAGGCTACTGTGGGCCAGTGCCACCTGGCGCTTCCGTCTCAGGGAACTCTGGCGGTTCGACTGCTTTGCCCTTAGAGAATGTCACAACCCGTTCAGAAAAACCTAACTCAGAAGGTCTGTCTGTAAGATGCAGCCACTCAGAATTCTCAGGACAGTCTAAAACTGAAACCTGACCTTCCTGTCCGCTTCCTCACCGCGGTGAACACCAGGGTTGGTTTCCTAAAGGCCATTCATCCCTTTTCCTTCTTGATGACTTTGCCCAAATACTTCTGCTACACTGCCTAGAGCGTTTCATTGTAGTCATTTGTGATGCTCGAACTCACCAAGCAAGCAAAGCCAGACTCCTTCTCATCCACCCGCCCACCTATCATTTATGGCCTGCGCCTCAGTGGCAAGCACACAGAACTGCAATGCCAGGACCAGGGGCAACAGGAAATGAATCACAGTAACAACACAGTGATCAATCGACCCGCAGGTAAGAAGTCAGGGAATGTTAATGAAATCTGATTGTAGTTTGGTGGTTTATGCCCAGTGGGCTTTGGTAGAAGAGCCAACAACTTGCCCTTGTTTCATGGTAGCGGAGCCCTGGGTTCTCGTGGTAAGGCCAATTCTGTTCTGTGGGACACTCTGGACTTCACTGAGCAGCTATTACACAGACGGGTGCATCACCAACACTCTATTCTGGATTTATTACACATTTTCTTACAAGAATTTGGGGTCCATGGTTAAGATGTGTTATTCTCATTGGGGACGGATACTACAGTAAGATATAGAAAGGAACAGCTGTCACACCTGTGATCCTAGCATTCAAGACATGGGTGAGGGAGGACAGCCTGGGAAACAGCAAACTCCAGGCCAGCTTGGGTTACAGTGTAATATCCTATCTCAAAAAAACAAACCAAAAACCAGCAACAACACCACAACACACCCCAAACAAAAAGGGAAGTTAGAGGTTGTTGTAAAGGCAAGCCTTGGAACTGCATGCCACGCAGTCACTATCATGAGGGAGGAGACAGAACTGAGCTTGCACTAATGCTCCCCAGACAACAGGAGCATGATCCCGCACACCATGAGCAAAAGCAGACACAGACTTTGTCATCGGGTCCCTGTGCATTTCTAGGGCCTGAGGAGGAACAACGTGATGGAACTGCTAGTCTGCATATTTTCTTCAAGAAAAGTGCAAAAATGAGAATTCTCTCTTGTACATAAGAAATGCATTGAAATTATAACGGTTATAGGGGTCTTAATGAGAATGCCCCCTTAGACCCACTGTTTGAATACAGGGGCCCTAGTTGGTGGAACTTTTTGGGAAGGATAAGGTGTGGACTTGTTGGAGGTGGGCACCAAGGCAGGCTTTGCCACGTCAAAGGATTTTTGCCATTCCCAGAGCTCTCTGAATCCAGGTTGTGCATCAAGATGTGAGTTCTCAGCTGTTTCTGTGCTCTTCTATCATGGAGTCTAACCCTGTGAACCCATAATCCAAGTTAAATGCTTTCCATTATGAATTGCAATGGTCAGTGTCTTAGCATAGTAGCAGAGCGGTGACTAGTTAATGGATACTGCTCTTGTACATGTGAAATTCACTAATTTAAGGAAATGAAACTGTTCAGTTCCATTTTCCAGAGTGTGTTCCATAAGAATTCAAGGGTTCAGGAAGCTGGCTCTTCCCTGTGCTCAGCAAGGCTGTGTGCTCTTGTGTGCGCCCTCTCCTTTCTCAATAGTCTGTCTGCTCCCAACTCCAAAGGCATGCCTTTCTCCCTCTCTCCTGGCTGTCAGGGTTTTCACCAACCTGTACTGTTTTAACTCTAATAAAATTGTTCTTAAGCTAAAATAGTAATTCAGGAAGCTGAATCACTAAAATAAATTTATTATTGGTTGTTGTTGTTTTTTTTTTTGTTTGTTTGTTTATTCCAGGCAGGGTTTGTCTGTGTAACCCTGCCTGGCTGTCCTGGAACTCACTCTGTAGATCAGGCTGGCCTCAAACTCAGAGATCTCCCTGTCTCTGCCTCCTGATTATTGGGATTAAAGGTGTGCACCACCATCCCTACCTTAAATAAAAGAATTTTAATATTTCAACCTCTGATAGGGTTTCAATGACTTAACTCAGCTTAGTAGGAGGAGAATACTGTATTCAAGGACAGTATGAACTGAAACCCTGATTGATAGCTTGTTTTTCCTTTAGTGATTCTTTCTGGCCACAATGTAGACCAAACTGAGGCAACTTTCAGAAATGCTCTGGAGAGAAAATATATCACTGAAAAACTCCATGTGGGGGAAGCCTTCCTATGCCAAGATACTCATTTACTTATGTTAAGTAATCTGCTTCCATGGATGGTGATGGCCCCCAGGGCTCGGACTGCAGTTCTGTACGATGCAGTCAGGTAGGTGGCAGGAGGGTTTAGGAAAGACAACTGGACACTACTGTTTGTAACAGTGATGACAAGAAAGGTGAGGCCTGGCCATCTTGACTTTTTTCTTATTATTGGAATTTATTGACCATTATTAATTTGTTATTCAGTATATATTTAAACAATCCTGTCATATAAAAACATGTTTCTACATCTTGACTCAAATTTATCCTTTTAGTTAAATTTAAAGTTACACTGTTGTGTTTTGTGTGTGTTGTGTGTGTGTTGCGTATGTGTATGCTGTGTGTGTGCGTGTTACTGAGGATTGGACCCAGGGCCTTATACATTCTGGGCAGATGCTCTCCTGAGCCACACCCCCACTATGCTGAATGTTTGTTACTACTCAGGACAGGAAAACGAAGAGCCAGTGGTTATATTGGTACACATTAGTATACATCAGCCACCTTTAGTATGAAGGTTCCTAATGAAACCCAGTAGCGAGGGTGACTGGGAGCAGCAGCTAGCCTGTACAACCCAGGGAGCCAGGCTAACATTGACTGATTGGGCTGTATGCCCCGAGTACTAATGAGCATGTTACATACTATTCTTATTCCCATTTTAAGAAGGTAAGATGAAGACAGAAAGGCAAGGTCGTGCCCAATACCTCAAAGCTAACACTGAGAGAAGACAGGCTTTGACTTTGGAACCCACGCTCTTAACGGATGCGTCACACAGCCTGACTTGCAGCAATAAAACCATCAAGTGATATAAACAAATGAGATTCTTCTAGATAACCCTGAAAAATACCTATTCTTTCATTCAAAATGGTGACATGTGGTTTCTATTATTTGTCTCTGTAATTTGTATTACACCTCACCCAATTCTCTTACCCAAAACAAACAAGACGAAAAAATGAAAACCAAGTATGCAGGATTCCATATGTGTATATACTTTAATAATAAAGTCACTTCAGCTATAAATGAACAAAAATGGGGAGACAAAGAGAACGGAGCACAGCCCAGGGGTGTGAGCAGGAGCAGCTGCACACCCGGCTTTACCAGGAATTGTCCGCGCTAACACAGGCATCACCTACTCATTGAGTCCATGTGTTTCCTAAAGCGTGGTATCAAACACTGCAGAATTAGGTTAAACAATGATGTCAAGAAAAATGTGTCCTAAAATTTTAACAAAGTCTTTTAAGAAAGTCTAAAAACTTCCCATTTTCCTGCAATGACTCTCAAAACTTGAGTTTTATATCAGAATATCTGTTAACTTTAACTTTTACCATACATGAAAAATTATCAAAAATATACTGATGAGTCTATACTAACTGTGACTATATTTACATTAAGCAAACTTTTTGCCAAGTTCTTTATATACAAATTAGCACTTGTCCTATGTGATATTCATCAAAAAGTTAAAAACCACATAAATGTTATTAGAAATAATATATTCAAAATCTAACTGTTTTCCATGAATGATGGACGTTTTAATAATTTAAATGAAGAGTCCTGACTGGCCCACCAACTTCAGCTGCACCAGAGTTCCTCCTCCGTGTTCTCTGTGATTTAAAGGGAAAACAGTTAAAACTTTGCTGCAAGGAATTAAATAAAAAACTGGTATGCATTTACTGACTTTAACTCCAAATTTATAACTAAGTGATAATGTAAACAGTTTCTAATAACCAAAAATATGAAAAATAATCTTTAAAAACTGGCAAAAGTAGGCCACCAGAGATGGCTCAGAGGTTAAGAGCACTGGTTGTTCTTCTAGAGGTCCTGAGTTCAATTCCCAGCAACCATCTGTGATAAAATCTGGTGCCCTCTTCTAGCCTGTAGGGGTATGTGCAGGCAGAATACAACATGCATAACAAATAAATCTTTTTTAAAAACTGGCAAAAGAAGCATGTACATACTTTCCTTATTAAGTAACAAAACAGTATCACAAATTCAATCAAATTGGATATAGATGCAATTTCTGGTGCTTCTAAACAGGTCAGCATTTGCTTAAAACTTAATGACTTAGGTTTTGGAAGCAGCGCAACAGAGAAGATAAATGCATGATCTGAGCATATGATGCGTTTGTGCAACTCTAGCACTCAGAAGATGACATGGAAGGACCACTGCCCGTGTAAGGCTAGCCTGGGCCACTGCAAGTATGAGACTAGCCTGTGTATGAGTTGAAGGGTAGCCTGCGCTACACACTGAGACAATGTCTGAAATCACTCCCCTCCTTAATTATTAATACTTAAATAAAGGTTTGAGGTGAAGGTTTTAGAGGGATTATATTGAAGTTTTGAAATGAGGAGATTCCTTTGTTTTAGGCTCGGAGTCACAGCTTAAGAAAACCTTGTCTTCAAAACCAGAGCTTTTCAGAGTGAAAGACTGGGTTCAGGGAGCACAGTTCTGGGTGCAGCGCTCTGCCCAGTACAGGGGCTTCTCTTCTGTTCCACCATGAACGGGGTTTATGACAACTGCTTGTATGCCAGAGCAGAGACCAGTCCTCATTAGCTACTTCAGGTTAGTTCTATACTACAGCAGGGAAGAAAACCTAAGGATTTACCATGTCAGTTACTGCTCTGTCGCTGGACCTTGGGACCAACACTCTGTGACTCCTCTTCCTGACTGGGGCGCTTCCCGCTGCTGAGGCCAGTGCCCATGGAGCTCCTTCCTACACATTTACAAATGCACACGTGAGGTGGGGCCAGGAGGAGGTCTCGGGAGCTCCAGGGCTGCTTCCCCTTACCTGGCTTTAGCAGGTGGGCTTGCTGACTGTCTCCGTGAGCATAATGTAAAATACCGCTTCCTTGTGAGCAACCTGTATTTCAAAACAAAAGAAAATGACTTAAAAACTTAAGATGCATACATTAGAGCTATAAAGCCTGTTATTTTTTTTAAAAGTATTTGTATTTAACTTTTCTTAATCTTAACTCTGAGCCAAAAGTCACAATCTCAAAATCAAAACTAAAGTTCAGGCTGACCACTAACAGTTCAAGGCAAAACCACTGCTGTATTCATTTTCATTTTGTGTGTAGTGTTCACATGTATGTATTTTTGTGTGTATGTACATGTCATGTTCGTGCTCATATGTGTGGAGACCAGAGCTCACCATTGGCTAGACTGAATGGCCAGTGGGTTTCGGGGCCACTTGTTTCCTGTCCTGCCAGGGTTACAGATGTGCATCACCACATACAGTTTTTACATGTGAGCGAGCCCTTTATTATTTTTAAAGATTGATTTTATTTTTACTTATGTTTGTATGTGGTGATGTGCCTATGAGTGCAAGGGTCCACAGAGGCACCAGAAGCCTGGAGCTGGAGTTACGGGCAGTTACAAACCACCCTACATGGAGGCTGGGAACCGAATCCCCGCTAGCACTGCGGGCTGCACTCCTACCGCCATCTCTTAGCTTTCATTTCCCCACACACATCTCTTTACCAGATGGTAACTGGAATGTGGGCATGAAGACAAAACACACAGGCAGCGGTGAGATGAGATGCCCTTCCTTCAACCCTGCCTTCTGTTTCACATTCTTCTGTCAGAGCCCTTTAAACATGCACCTCACTGGAGATAGCGGAATAGTCTTCTACTGAGAGTTAAGTGATTCTGATCAGTTACCAAGCCATTTTACTAGCTCTTTCAAGAAGAAATGGACTTCCTACACAGCAAAGCTTTACAATTATTTTGTGTCAGTGCCCAGGTTTGAAAAATATATGCAAGAAAAATATATGCACATGTTTTTAACCCCAGGGGCAGGACAGAGACATAAGAAGTTCAAGTGAGTTCAGAGCCAAAGCCAGACTTGGTTACATGAAACTGTCTCAAAAAACAAAACAAACAAACAAACAAACAAAAAACAAAAAAAAACCCTCAAAATATACCAGAGAGAAAAAGAAAATACAACCATATGACCCATGGGGTGGGTTAGCTCAAGAATGTACGTATTTTGCTGGCCATAGTGGTGTACACTTGCAATCCCAACACTGCGGAGGTCAAGGCAGGAAGCCTGGAGTAAGTTTGAGGCCAGCCTGGTTTACACAGCAAGTTCCAGGTCAGCTGTGACCCTATAGCAAAACTCTGTTTAGTAAAGAAATGAATGAATGCTAAAAAGACTACCTACGTTTTCCTTTCACTGGAAACAGATGCCGTTCTCATAGTGCTCCCATCCCTCCACTTCCTGCCCACCAATAGTGCTCCCATCCCTCCACTTCCTGCCCACCAATAGTGCTCCCATCCCTCCACTTCCTGCCCACCAATAGTGCTCCCATCCCTCCACTTCCTGCCCACCAATAGTGCTCCCATCCCTCCACTTCCTGCCCACCAATAGTGCTCCCATCCCTCCACTTCCTGCCCACCAATAGTGCTCCCATCCCTCCACTTCCTGCCCACCAATAGTGCTCCCATCCCTCCACTTCCTGCCCACCAATAGTGCTCCCATCCCTCCACTTCCTGCCCACCAATAGTGCTCCCGTCCCCCCACTTCCTGTCCACCAATAGTGCTCCCGTCCCCCCACTTCCTGCCCTTCATCAAGTGCTCCCATCCCCCCACTTCCTGCCCTTCATCAAGTGCTCCCGTCCCTCCACTTCCTGCCCTTCATCAAGTGCTCCCGTCCCTCCACTTCCTGCCCTTCATCAAGTGCTCCCGTCCCTCTACAGAGATTGTCTCTCACACTTGTGGGGCTGCGCAGGCAGCACAAGAGATCTGAAAGAAGTTTCAAACTGATGTACCAATATTTACTTCAAATTATAGGAGACCGTCAAAGAACATCTCTCAAGTAAACTGTCATCACTGGCAACTATTTTTAGGTGAGTCATGTCCCAGCAATGAAATATTTATCTTATAATCACTGCACACAGTACCACACCTGCAGAGGAGGCGCCATGATGTACAAGAGAGACCAAGGCTGGAGCATAGCCTTATGCAACTGCTTACAAGCCATGAGAGCCTGGCTAAGCTGCCTAACCTTCCTAAAAAGGCTTTCTCAAACATCACGTGAGGAACCACCATTAACCTCCCCAGGAGATTACTGTCAAGATGTAGCCCAAGCCCCCTTATTTCTGGGTACAAGACTGGCAGTAAAAATATGTGTTTTTCTTCTCCACAAAACTGATTCTAGGAAGACAGCATACATGCAGCTTTCATAGACAGGAACTTTTGATTACAATCCTTCCTTCCTTCCTTCCTTCCTTCCTTCCTTCCTTCCTTCCTTCCTTTTGGCAATAGGGCTTCTCTATGTAGCTTTGGAGCCTGTCTTGGAACTCACTCTGCAGACCAGGCTGGCCTCAATCTCACAGATATCCGCCTACCTCTGCCTCCCAAGTGCTGGGATTAAAGGCGTACGCCACCAATGCCCTGCTCAATATTTACTTTTTTTTTTTTTTTTTGGTTTTACGAGACAGGGTTTCTCTATATTGTTTTGGAGACTGTTAGTCCAGCCCAGCCTTGAACTCACAGAGATCTGCCTGCCTCTGCCTCCCGAGTGCTGGGATTAAAGGCGTGCACCACCACCGCCCAGCTAATATTTACTTTATTCTCAGATTGGGAATATAGCTCTGTGTGTACAACACCTTCTCCCAGTATGAAAACTCTGGCTTTTATTCTCAGTACAAAAAAGAAACCAAACAAAACAAAACAAAAGAAACAAATAAAAACCAAGGCAGCTGTATTTCTAATACCAGCTTAGAACATGTACCTTAAAAAGCATTTCTGAAATGACTCTTTTGAATCAAGTTACTCAACCTCATGTGAGTTTTGGTTCTAACCTTAGAAAACTCATATAATGACTTGTTTCCAATATATACCGACTTTAAAAAATAGATGTGTATTTTTAATTTGTCTGTCTGTGTGTCTGCTTATCTTTATGTATATAAGGTGTGTGCAGGTATCCACAGAGGCCAGAAGAAGGTGTTAGATTCCTGAAGCTGGAGGCAATTGTGAGACATCTGGTGTGTTCTGGCAACCTGACTTGGGTCCTCTGCAAGAGCAGTAAGTGCTCTTAACCATCGAACCATCTCTCCAGCCCATAAGACTTTTGATACTATTGTCACATATGTTAAAAATGAACTAAGAAACTAGTATCCCAGACAAGACTGTGCAGGGAAAACTCACATGAAAAAGGATGAGACAGGTATGTGATAAATCTTTCAGCTACTCTAGAATCTTTAACATGCTACCAATAGACACAGGGATGTATATGTGTACCCCCGTGTGGCAGTTTGAATGTAACTGGTCCCCAAAATGTCACAGAGAATGGCACTATTAGGAGGTATGGCCTTGTTGGAGTAGATGTGGCCTTGATGGAGGAGGAGTGTCACTGTAGAGCAGGCTTTGAGGTCTCATATATGCTCCAAGACACCACCCAGTGTCTCAGTCTACTCCTCGTCGCCTGAATACCAACATATTACCAAGTATAGAACTTCTCACTTACTTCCACCGCTGCTACAACTTGGGACATTTTCTCCAGGAGCATAGCCCATAAGTCCTCCATTCCCATTAGGATTAGAAGGGACTGATGCAAGAAGACCTAAAGGGAAACATTTTCATATTGAATTACGACTAACAAAATTCAATGATAGCTACACAGCTGACAAAGAGACAAATCAAAAATAACCAGTGGCTGACATACCTAGCCCTCTGTACCGGGAAAGCTGCTGATAAATCTGCTTCATTCTTTCAATATTCAAACGGCTTGCCTCAGCATGGTTTACCATTGGTTTGGGGTAATTTACTCCTATTAAACATTTGGCTACCTTCTGGATACCTTCTGGTGCATTCCAAGGATCGTAGATATATTTTGCAGGGAAGCCTCTTAGGACAGGCAAATAACGCCTTTTGGGAGAAGAGAATTTTTTAATGAACTGAACTATAAGCACATTACAACAAATACGAACCATGAGTGACCAAAAGCAAATCAGTATCACTTAATGATGTGTTTACTCTTCTCATCTCTGCTGCCCATCAAGAATACAGGATACCTTGAATTCAGAGATGAGCCTGTCTCTGTCTCCTGGGTGCAGGGATTAAAAGTGTGCGCCACCATGTCCCCCAAGACTAGGAAATACTCTTAAGTGTTGTTTAAGCAGAAAAAGCTCTTTGTTGGAGTAGGTATTTGAAACCGTGCAAACATCAGCGTCACCTTACCTGATATAGTCCCCATTGGGATCTGTCCTCCTGCCGAAACCAACGGGGCAGTAGCAGTGGAAGAACTGCTGGAAGAAGGAACTGCAGGACAGCCACATCCAACTTCCAGCATTTATGCTCCAGTCTGCGTCAAGCAGTAACTCTTCAAAGACCTTCACAAGTGACAATGACCAATCAATTTACACACTTACTCAAAGCAGCATTTTTACAGTCACTGTACATCAAAAGCCAAGACAAGAAATCTGAATAGAATTGTAAAATTTAACATTCCAAAATAAATGTTCTGTTCCAATAAGCAATTTCAGGAAAAGAATAATTAGAAATACAGTTTTCTAGATAGAATTTACTTCCATAATTGTGAAGCTTTGAATTAGAATGGCCCCCACAGGTGAGCAAGCATGTGTGTAAGATCCTCCTGCCTCTGCTTCCTGAGTATTGGGACTAAAGGTGTGCGCCATCACCATCAGGCAAAATGGCCAGGTGGTGGTAACACACAACTTTAATCCCAGCATTTAGGGGCAGAGGCAGTAAGATCTCTGAGTGCGAGGCCAGCATGGTCTACACAGTGAGTTCTAGGACAGCCAGAGCTACATAGAGAAACCCTATCTCAAAAAAACTTTTTAGTTTTTTAACGAACAAACAGCAACAGCAAAAAACAGAAAAGAAAGAAGGAAGGAAGGCAGGCAGGAAGAAAGAAATAAAGAAAGAAGGAAGAAAGAAGGAAGGAAGGAAAGAAAGGAAGAAGGAAGGATGAAGAGATATTATCAACTAAATCACAAAGTGCAGAAGCATGGTATGGACAAAAGGAGCATGTCAATGCAGCATTGTAGCTTAAATTTCAAATTCTGTGATCCAAAACAACATATAACTAAATAATATGCTAATAAACTTGCTAAGTAGATACTAGGAGGTGAAAAAAAAAACCCAACAACTAAACAACAAAAAACAGGATTAGAAATAGTCCTCGAGGGGGTGAGATGGCTCACTTGGGTAAGGGTGCTTGCTGCCAAGTCTGAGGACCCGAGTTCAATTCCCAGAACACACATGGTGGAGAGAACCAACTCTAACAAGTTGTCCTCTGACTTACACACACACACACGTTAATAAATGTTAATTTCAAAAGTCTTTTGTTTTTTTATAAAGAAGGTCTTTGAATTGGCAAAATTCACAAGATAGCAACAGGTAAAACATAAATGTAAGTCTCCTGTATGGTGATGTTAGAAAATGTAGTATGTTTCAATGTCTATATGAAAGGTTTACTAAAATGGTAAAATGACTCACAGCTTAAACTTCATGTAACCGGAACTCACTATTTCTAAGAGCTCACGGGTGAGTATAACAGAAACTCTTACCTATCAATGCATCTATCCATTAAGTTACTTTCTCACTCTAAAGATAGGCCTACTATGTAGCCCAGGCTGGCCTGGGTCCAGATTTTCTCATGTCTGTCTATCGTGCTGCATGGGATTACAGTCTTGCACCACCACACAAGGGCAGGTTAGTGCTGAACAATAACAGATTTCCTAATGGGAGGCTGGCTTCACCACAGAATTGACTTTTGGTTAAGCAATTTAACTAGTCTGACTTTAGCACATTGCTCTCAAAATCTGTGTCTACACTGTGGGCATTATGTGCTTTATCCACTGAAAAGCCAAACTACAAACCAGGCAAGTACCTCCCACCCCCTCCACATACATACCACCCCGCCAACCCCCTTCCCATCTCACACTGTGGCCCAAGATGGCCTTCTCCTTCCTCAGTCTCCCCGGCTGCTCAGATTTCAGATGTGCACTGGCACATCTACGTGTAGAAGAGACCTCCAAATGGTAGGTACAGGTTCCTTCAAAAGCTGCAGTCAGAACACCCACCTTCATCCCTTCTTCCCAGCTGATCCACAGGTCACCACGTGTCAGGAAACACGCAACTGCATGTCTGGCTAAATGGTGAATCCAGCCCTCCTGACGAAGTTGTGTCATGATGGCATCAATCCATGGAAAGCCTGTTCGGCCTTCTGCCCATTTGGCCAGAGCCTCAGGATTCTTATCCCAAGGGATCTGGACACAGATTGGGTTCCCTTCCATTTTATCAAAGCGCGGGTTGTTTGTTGCTGCTGTATAGAAAAACTCACGCCACAGAAGTTGCCCATAAAGAGAGAGGGGAGGAGAACTATTTTTCTTTACCTGTGATTAAAACGCATAGAAGTATTATTATAAATATTAAAAAGCATAGAAAAATTATTATTAAAAGTATTTCAAAAAATCCTGCTCTGACTTCAGATAATACCTTTTTGTAGAGATCTGTTAGTTTGAAATAAAATAGCCGACATGATAAACAACCAAATCGGAGATAAGGGCTGAGTCCAGTTGGGCTCGCAAGCAGGGAATTTGCATTCATTCGAGGTCTTTCAAAGTTCGCCACCCAGGCCTAGAAAAAACAGAGATAGCTACGTTTACTTCTACGGTCACACTAACAGTGTGAATCATGCTAATGGGAGAGCCCAGCAGTTTGTAAAAGTACGCATCACCAAGCCTGAAGACATGAGCTTAAGTTCCCAGCCCTGCAGGAAAGGAGAGAAACCCTATGGCATGTGGGCCCCCCCCCACAGAGTTCAAAACTGAGAATTCAAAAAGTCACAGTCCTCAAGGAGTATGTTATTATCCCAACT